GACAGAATTGGTCTAACAGGCTCGTACTTCATCACGAACCAAATAAGCGAATATTAATAAAGAACAGTTGGTGATTTATTCTAGGAAATCTGTGCATGGGGGGAATTCCCATTACTTCTCCTCGACATCATGAACATGGGGAAATCCCCAGTCCTTCTCGGCGACCTCAGTTCTCGTAAACATTTGAGTGTGTTGTGGAAGTTGTGTTATGCGGAGTTTAAAGGTGGTAATAGTGCATAGAAGAGGATAATTCTTGGACACCGTAATTATTTCTTAAGTGCGATAGCGTGAGTATTTAGTTGAATGACATGGTTCTATCTCATCCAGTAACGTTGAGAATATTTTTTAAGCTGCAAATTTTGCCATCTTGAAAGTGGTGCAACGTGGATGAAATACTTTCGTTTCAGTTGTGTTAACAACACAGCAGAAGGTAAATTACAATTGCTCCGTTTGCCAGCCCGCATGCATGAAACAGCTAGGGAACAGAAAATTGGAGCGTCATGGAATATGGTACTAGGGAATTTCCTGAAATTTCACGACATTCCAGTTTTGGTTAAAACCAGGTAGAATAATGGACACGTTACATGAAGTACACGTCTCGTTCATACTAGCTGAATACGTATTAGAAAAACGTTTAGAACAAAAACGAAATACATGCTGCACCGAAAAGTCTCATGCAGTATTAGAAAAACGTTTAGAACAAAAGCGAAATACATACTGCGCCGAAAAGTCTCATGCATTTCTAGAATACTGAAAGGAATGCTATTCCTTTTTCCAAACGAGTATATAAGGGGGGGGTTCCTTTGTTGACCGGTTTGAAGTCTGCGCGCCAGGGCAACTGGTACATCACCGCCTGTGAGGCGCATACGAATTTTGCCGTGGAATAAGCCTGCCTAACGACCGATAACGTACGGATACAATTCAGAGATCACAGAAGGTAGTAAAAATGCTGTCCTACGTATAGTTATGTTTCGCAATTAAATGTTTCGTTAAAAACAGGTAAAACAATCTTGCCTGTACTCTAATAGCACACCAGACGTCAGCTTTCACTGGAAAGAGCGGGACTTCAGCAATTGTGTTTCTGTTCTTGCACTAGACTTTGACACTTGAGTTCTTCGCCCTTCCCTGGTATCTTTTCCAGAATGTTGGAGAAGAGTTTTCCTGAAATGTTTCCATCTCTGTTGTGATTTTCTGTCTAATATCTCTGGCAAGCAAGGAACTGTTCCAGCTTTTCTTAAACAGTGAATATTAATGTCCTCTGGGCTATCATGCTGTGAAGCATGGTTGATAATTACCAGCATTTTGGAGGAGCGTACTTCTTCCACCTTCAGCTTCAAAGGTTGGAGGCAGTAGGCTGGAACATTGGTATCAGTCCACCAAATTATGCAGTGAAACATCCCAGGAAACAGTAATCTTCGTATTCACCACTGTGAGAACTTAACTTCTTTTTTTAGAGTTCTCACACAAAAGTTCTGCAATGTTGTCTTATCATTTCATTGCTTTTATGACAACTATATTTAACATGTAATCAGATGTCACCAGTGGATGTTTCTTGCAACATTTTAAGCAGTGCACATTTTGTCAGACTGTGTCAACAACACCTTTTGTGCAGATGTAAAATGGTACTGCTTTAGGTTGCCTTGTGAGGTTTAAATTTGTATATATGAACAGAAACTTGTGCATTGCGTTTTGAAACCAAACATACTTCATTACAATTCACACTTTTGTCCGTGACAAACTGCAGGAAGAGTTTCCTTTTGTGCCTTCAGATTGTGCCAACATAGGTGAGATTGTGAAGTTAAGTATTTCTGCCAACTCTGCACTGGAGAACCAACACAGTCAATTAACATCTCCAGGATTATTGCTTTGTTCATATGATCCAGGCAGTTGCTTACCAAAATTAACTCTCAAATTTCAAGTATAAAAAATTGCTGGAATATGCAAATCCAAATACATTTATGACATGTCATGTGGGTCTGCTGGAAACATATTTTATTAAAAGAAACACTGCCATTCCCAAAACGCTTCAACTTCTGATCTGTTGTAATATAAGGAAGTTATCACCTTTGTTGACAGTTAACAGCTCCATTAGCCACTTGTTCTCAGTCACAGTTAGTGTGCAGTGTGTTGTGTTATGGTGCGGCAGACTTTAGGGCAGTGTGAATTTCCTTATGATAACTATGTAAAATACAGATCTGCTAAAAAGTGTCAGCGAAAATTTTGATGTAAATTTTGTGATGAAAGAGTTCCAAGCAAATAAAAAATTCACAATTTGGTGAATAAACTTAGATCAACGAGATTCTTAATAGTAAAGTAGAAAGTAAAGCTGTCCCCATAAAAAGTAAAAAGTAAAGCTGTCCCCAAACCAGGCTTGAAGGCCCATAGGGTTGTGAGACGTTGAGGGTCCCACATTGTCTAGACAATCGGCTCAAAGATGGTGGTAAGGTTGTCAGCCCTATGCGCCGGCCGCGCTTTACTCCCCAGGAAAACTATTTAATTAATTCCTGGTACTCATTTCTGTTAGAGACTGAGTAAACCCCAGGGCCTGTTGCGGCTGGAAGGACTGGGTCAACTGAAAAAAATCCAATGACCTCATCAGGACTTGACCCTGCGACCTTCCAGCTTGTAGCATAGCTCCTCAACCACTACACTACTGCGTGCCCCCCGCACCAAACTTTTACCTAATTAAATTGCATTTCTGGAGCCACTTGAAGAGCTCTCTGTATAAATGTATAATGGGTATCTGTAGCATCACTGTAAGAGGCTGTAGACAGTCTGTGTCACAGATTAGGGATGTTTGAGTTCCAGACTTGTTTTTACACCATATTCTTTATGGTGTGTTTAAAGGAGCTGCTGTACACACACCGTAAAGTGAAGAGGCTGCCAGCCCAATCCAGTTCTGACATGTGAAACTGTGATGGTTACATGCTTCTCAGCAATAAAAAGGAATGAAGAAATTGAGATGGAATTATAACAAATTTAATAAAATACTGTACAAGAAAATTATATTTGCCATTTTCATAGCAGTGAAGACTTAATTGTGGTCTTCTGAACTATTAGATAGTATGTAGTCTGATAGGTTTTGGAACTTTCTGCTTCCAGAATGCTGGCAACCACTACACTTCTAGAAGTAGATACAAATAATATGTTCAGGAACTACTTTTAGAAGTAAATACAAATAATATGTTCAGGGACTCTTTGGATTTGACCAGAAAAATGGAAGCAATGGAAACATTTTCTGTTGCAGTAGTTTTGAAAGTAAGGCATTGCATATGATGAATTAGTGACATAAAATTTTTCACTTTATACTTGACTTATAATATATAATTAGGAACTTTACTTTCAATAAATTCTTACAAAGAGTAGGATTGAAATAATTTTTTATGCTGGTTTATATCGGCATACAAACTTTTAATGATAGGTGGAAGATTTTGTCAAACACGGTTCTCTCCTTCATTATAGAAGATAATTGATAATCTGTATTTTATTCCTGATGAAGTACAGATGGTCTGTGAATCTCCCTGTGGGTTGCATTGCTAGAAGTAGAAGTTATCTTCTGTACACAGATATTAACACTGGTATCTCTGGCACCCTTGGACATTTACTGTCTTCAGCAGCAATTCATTTGGCTGTATTCAAGTGAGCACTCTAATGCAGTTGGTGAGAGATGGATGTTGCCCTGGTGACAGAACTATTGGCTCATATCTTCTTCTTCTTCTTCTGGCTTTTCAGTAGTGTACTCTACTTTGTCAGCTGATGAGGACCTCATTCTTCACCGGATTAATTTGTTACAAGAATTGTATGCCCAAAATCAAAGATGTACTTCTTTATTTGGTGGAAGCCTTGCAAAGGTAAACCTGTTGCCCAGCCTGACTCAAGGGGTAATCACATGAAAGTAAACAACCTCTTAACTGGGCTAAGAAAGGTGGGTGCTCCTGGAATTAGTTGGAAAGAAGCACTTGTACCAAGTAACACATATTTTGGACAGCCCAAATGATTTATCTGCTCTTTGTTACTAAAATTATAAATAAGTTTATTTGGTTACACATACAGTATCATGTACTGGTGCCCCCCCAGCCCCCAATGAAATCTGTAGTAGGCTTGAACATTTCCAGCAATTGCTGTAATATTTGTAATTTATTTGGTTTCTCAGTTCTGTTAGAATTCTGTATCTCCATGGATATATTAGTCAGATATTGAGGGCCTCTCCAGGGGAAGAGTTACATAAGGACAGTAAATAAATCACCCTTCACAGGACCCTCTTTAATACCTCTACATATACATAGCAGAGCAAAGCACAGCTCAATGCTTTCGAGTGCCTCAATTTTCGAGGAGCTATAAGATAATCAGAACATGCACATGCACACATTCATTATCTTCGAATTTGAGGTCCTACAAGATCCATTAATAAAGAAAACCTTTCAGTGCACATTCTGAAAAATGATTTGAACACTTCTGTATCGTGATTAAATTTCTTTAGAAAAAATATACACACCTGAGTTTAAATTATCGCGAAAGAACGGATGCACCAAATGTTTCCTTTTCTCCTGTCTTCTCCTCTTACTCCGTGTCAACTACCACCATATCATTACAGGAACAATATTATTATGTGACATTGCAGAAGAGAAGTGCACGAAATTGGCGGGCAAACACGCCCACCTGAGATGATATGAACAACTAATCGAATGTAAGTTTCCTCAAATCAGTTACCTGTTTGAAATCGGCGATATTTCTCGGTAGTTGCGGTTGCCAGTTTCCTTGGTGTGAGCCCGGCCTTACCGCTATTATAGAATGACACGTTTATAATTTTTTTTTCTCATCAATAACAAAGAGCTTCACGGAGCTAGTCCCGATCGGTCCAAAACCCCAGTAATTCGGTATGTCATTCACCACCTGCAGAACCCCTTAGAATTGCTAGATACAGTCATGGACGGTCATGGATTACTAGAGTTATCTGGAATTTGTACAGTGCCATGTAGATGGCAGCAGGTGTAGACTGTCTGCATCTTGCAAATAACAAGAACGCAGGCTACGCCGCATAGTAGGAAGAGTATCTGTAAAATAGGCAATATCGCACCAATTGTTGGTATTGTTCAAATGTGTGGTAATAATTCACTGTTATATTTCCAGTATTTATATGGTAGAAAATACAGCTCTCCACTGATAAAAAATTGTGTTTTTCTTGGACTGACATCCAGAATATGGTGACAAGAACACATAACGTTTTTTTCTCCCAATTGTAGCAACATTTACATTTTAGTTTATATTGCGTTGTTTTCTTTTTTAGTTGTGGGAGGTGGTTGTGATACTCCCTTGATTATTCGACTTCAAATGGCCCTCTTTTTATCAGCTCCTGGTGCTTTTTATGTTTGGAGCTGTAGCGGAATCAGAACAAAATCAGCCCCGTATTAAATAAGATATAAAATCTCGTGACTGTGACATATACATAGAATGGCGGATATTTTTATATATATCCATTGTATTATTATTTGAGACAACATTTGAGAGACGGCCGTGAGTCCGTCCTCAGATAAAAATCCTTTTCTGTTGGTCCAGTTATATATAAGTATCCTCTTCCTCCGAAACATCGCAATCTGTGCAATTTTACTTTCTCAAAATGACCCACATGGACTTACCCCAGAACTGAACGAGACTTTCCTCAAATAGACGCTAGAGACTTCAGTATGGCACAACAGCACTTACCAGTTATTATTAATATTATTAATTAAGTTTGCCTTATGTTAGTATTTAGTGTGGTACAATAAAATTCACCAACTAGTTATTGTAATTATTGTTACATTTTGGGGGAAAAGTATCATAAATATACTAGATTATATTCTGAAGGTGTTCTATGTATAGGCGTTCTTCACAAAGCGAAAAGAACGCCATATGTACAGGTGATGTCTGGCTGCCTCTCTGTCTATGCACATGATTTCACCTAAGGGTTGGAAAGATTTTTAAAATTTGATATGGGATTAATAAAGCTCACTTATTGCAGCAAGTGCACTTTTTATGTAAACTGCAGAGAACACCTTTTGGCATTTTGTGTACATTATGGAGTGTCTCCTTTCCAATCATATGCTGCATCCACATAAACATATTGTTTAGCTCAATTTCATTTGTGCAGTGTAGCTTATGTTGTGTATTTAGTGACTGCTTGTCAATAATGTTTAGCATTATTTTTGTTATTTTATAGAACCAATTTTATAATTTTTACCATATCTATATGCAAAAAGTGTCCTTCTATAAGTGATAATTTTTTAATTCATTTTTCCAGTTAAGCTTTTGCCAGTTTTCAGATACTAGTACCACCACCACCACCATTACTACTGCTGCTGCTACTACTACTACTAATACTACTACCACCACCACCACCATTACTACTGCTGCTGCTACTACTACTACTAATACTACTACCACCACCACCACCATTACTACTGCTGCTGCTACTACTACTACTAATACTACTACCACCACCACCACCATTACTACTGCTGCTGCTACTACTACTACTAATACTACTACCACCACCACCACCATTACTACTGCTGCTGCTACTACTACTACTAATACTACTACCACCACCACCACCATTACTACTGCTGCTGCTACTACTACTACTAATACTACTACCACCACCACCACCATTACTACTGCTGCTGCTACTACTACTACTAATACTACTACCACCACCACCACCATTACTACTGCTGCTGCTACTACTACTACTAATACTACTACCACCACCACCACCACTAGTAGTGGTACTACTACACACAACAATCACACCCTTTTCATAATATCATTTGTAGATATCAGTGGCAAGTCCTGTATATAAAAGCAAAGTGTGTGGTTAGGTGAATTCAGACACAGAATAAAATTAGACCATATATTTTGTGTCCATATTCAGAGTAAAAGAATGTTGGCATAGAGAAAATGTAAAGATCATACACCTTCTCCATATGCTACCTAAAATTCTTGTGGTTTTTTTAATTTTTTATTTTTCTAGTAAACATTTATTCTTTCCTTCACTCCTAGTTCTGGTTCATTGCACATATTCCATCCTGCTATGCTTTATTCGTGGCTACAAAACTTGTTCAGAAAGTAATTTCGGAAAAGAACAGCTATTGCATTATTTGCATGCTGTACATACACAATGTAGGCTACTGGAAATGGTAAGCATTATTTCAAGATTTCATGTACTTTTCTCTAATTGCACATTAAAATAATTCTAATGTTAATAGATTAATTACAAAGAACATGAAAATTTGAAGTTCTTTATATAAGTGTAATATCCTCTGGCAGTTTGCCAGCCAACACTATTGTTCTAGGATTATCTGCTTTGATTCTAGAATTCTTCGCTTATAGTGTATTCAGATTCCTGTGGTGTTTAGTTAGAAATGTTTGACTGTAACCTGTAATTTTCAACTTTATGTTCGGCCATAACTGAAGTGAATACAATTGAACATGTCAAAAAATAACAGTGAATACATCACATGTCAAAGTCACATAAAAGTTACACAATGAACTATCACGATAATATAATAACCATTATAAGGTACATAACCATAAAAGGTGCATAAGACCAAAAGAAAAATATCAGTAATATAAAACAAATAAACATGATATTAAAAATTGCAAACCAAAAGAAAGTCAAACTAGTCATCAATCAATATTAGTTGATAAATTCTCGAAGAGAATAGAAAGTGCTACGCAGCAAATAACTTTTTAGTTTCCTCTTAAAAACATCAACATTTTGAACGCTTTCAATTCAAGGGGAAGGCCATTAAATATTTTAGTTCCCATATTGATCACACTTTTTTTGCAATACTCGGTATTACAAAGTTGGACATACAAATTAAGTTTATGTATGGTATTGTAGCTGTGAATGTCAGAATACTGAGTTGTATAGATCTTATTCTTTATTATAAAACAAAAAATCTCAAATATATATAATGTGGTAACAGTTAAAATCTTAAATTCACCAAACATATTTCTACAGGATACTCTATTATTAACACCTTTAATCACTCTTAGACATTTCTTCTGTACTTTAAATACAGTTTCAGGGTCCTTAAGTCCCCCACCCCCAAAAAATAATACCATATTTCAATATAGATTCAAACTTAGTAAAATAAACATTTCTTAATACAGGTCGGCTAACTGAGTCACATAAGAATTTAATTAAATAAAGATCCTTGTTGAGCTTTTGGCATACGTATTGATTATGAGTTGCCCAGCTTAGATTTCCAGTAATACAAATACCCAAAAATTTTACATTTGATGAATAAATTATTTCCTCATTATTTAAGCACAAAACATTTCTATAGATTGGACTGGGTGTTCTTCCCTAAAAGAATATTACTTTAGTCTTATCTGTGTTTATTATGAGATGATTTTCATGGAACCAATTGTCTAATTGATTCCTAACTTGTAGGATTTTTTCAATTAATGATAAAAGCTTATTGTTAGTAAGTAGTATATTTGTATCATCAAATAATATGACCTTAGCCTCATGAATAGCTGGGGGCAAATCATTTATGAACTATAAAAAATAATAGGGGACCCAAAACAGAACCTTGAGGTATGTCATGTTTTATAGCCTTGAGTGATGAAGTAAATGTCTTTTAAGTTAGAAGTCTTTTGATCAGCCTGTTAAATTTCAACAAACTGAGTTCTGTTAGTGAGATATGGAGTCATCCATGCATGAATTATCCCTCTAAGCCCATATAGCTCCAGTTCCACAAGCAGCAGATTATGATTTATAACATCAAAAGCCTTTGATAGATCTAAAAATATGCCCAAAGCAAATCGTTTATTATCTGAATCTTTCTGAATTTCATCAATAAAGGTTTGTATGGCAATAAAAATAGATTTCTTCTTTCTGAAGCCATTCTGAGCATCCGAAATCAAATTGAATTTATTTCAGAAACTCACAACTCTATTATACAATAACATTTCAAAAATTTTAGAAAATATGGGCAGAATTGAAATTGGTCTATAGTTTGAAGTTTCTTGTTTCCATCCCTTTTTAAAAATTGGCCGAACTTTAGCAATAATCATTAGGTTTGGAAAGGTTCCAGAGCATAATGACAAATTAAATATAAAAGTTAAGGGTTTTTTTTAATAAACTCTATACATTGCTTCACTGTCATTTCCGGAATCTCATCATAGCCCTCAGAAAGTTTCCCTTTTAGTTTACTAGTGACCTTTTGAATCTCCTCTTTAGTAACTGGTACAAGAAACTAATTTAGATTTTGTATTATGTTAGTGGCAGAGATGTAATCATAATTACAATCCTTTTTTAGTTGTATCAACTTATTTACATTATTGACAAAAAAAATCATTAGATTGGTAAGATATATGCTGGGAATTTGTAACTGACATAGAGCCTATTTCTAAAGAACTATGAATAGATTTTTGACAGCTTCCTGATTCCTGCTTTACTATTTCTTTGACCTTAGAATGATTCGGTCATTTTCTCTTTTTCGAGCATCAGATATCACTTCCTTATAAATCCTTATAAATTTTTTTATGTAATATCAAAGTAAATATCACATTTGTTCAGATTACATATCAGTGGTTTGACAGTGAGTTCAAGAATGTGCAGTGGCACACTTCATATTTCTAGCCCTGGCGGTTTGTGTTCACATCAGTTTTAGTTTTATCCTGCTATTTCAGATTTTCCTGAAGAAAGGTTTGTTTTTTTTTATAACTTGTCACATAATATACTTTCAGTAGGGTTACTAACAATCTTGAATCTGTAGAATACAGTTTCAGAAAAGCAGTGGTTTGACTCCCATGTTTCAAGTCTGATTGATTAGAATTTTCTGTTTCATTTCGTAAGTATGTCACAGAAACAGAATGGAAATTAAATCCTATCATTATGACTCACTCTAGCACTATGGTTTGTTATTGGTAGGGTAGTCAAAACAGTGTTTTATTGTAAGGTGCATAAGCTATGCACAATATGGTTTTGTTACTTCTTTTGATGCAACTTAAGTTCTTAAAGTAATTTTGCCTGTTTTAAAGACTGGATCAGTTCATAATTTGTGATGTTTATAAAAGAAGATATGTCTTTCAGTATGCTGACTGGAAGCAGTGGTGGTATTGGTAGTAGTGCTTAATTAAAGAAGCACAAAGCCATGAAGACATATGGGGGAGTACAGGTATAGCTCTATTCTTGAACTTGGCACTACTTGGAGGTGAGTGATCAGCTTCACAACCTGGCTGCTTTACGTCTGGGGAAAGCCCCTCCCCCACTTCCAGTACCCATTGAATACAAGACTGAGTGAGCCTCAGAGCTGATCTGGATGCTGTAGAATAGAGAAACATCTGTTTTCTCTGCCATGACTGAAACCCCTGCCATCCAGCTCGTAGCTCATCACCACACCAACCGAAGTATACCGAATCTTCCAGCTGTTCTAATAGTCATTGATAAAATAATATTCATTGTATGTAGTTTCATTGGAAAATATCTAATTGAAGGATGAAATGATCCCACATAGTCTGATAAACTTCTACGAGGCTATGCATATCATCTAAGAAGATAATCCTCTTCCCAGTCACTGCTGTAAAGACCTCAAGTGTGACATGTTTAAGTCACAAATAGATTTGAATTTAGTGGTGAATTATGTTAGATTTTATTTATTTATATTATGTTTTAAATAAATAAAACATGAATTTTGAGAAAGGTGTTACAAATGTCATGATGATGTGTTTGACTCTTGACATGGCACTGATGTGCCTTATACCTGTAGCAGTCAGGAACAAATCAGTATTGCTGAACACAACTCAGATAACAGAAATGAATACCAAGCACTGTGATGGAGTGGTTAGCACCTCTATGTTGTATATAGTAGGTAGGTTTAGAAGACCNATGAAGCAAGTATACCTACAACATCGCCTACCTCTTCATTCCCTTTTATACCTGTCTCCTGCCAACTTAACTACTTCCCAATACCCTATTTCCACATGACCTAACAATATTACAGATCTACCAAATACTAAAATCCATTCAGTCTATGCAAATACTTCAATTATTTTATAGTTTCTAGTTATTTTATTTTCCCCCAGACACACACCAGCAAACAAAACGTCATAATGCACAACATAAGCTAGAATTTAAATATTAAAATTATTCTGTTATATCATTATAGAACTTTTTATTTATTAGTGGTTGTGTTGATGGTCACCAGAATACTTCAATCCCATTATACACAAGAGGATGAAAAAATAAAGTCCTCTAGTCTGTGCCTGTTACCTACCATATTTCCTATACAGACATGTTTTAATTTGCAGAATTGAGGTTCTGTCCTCAGGGGTTGAGCAGTAGAGTACAAAACTGATCATTTTCCATCATCTGGGGCCGAGGTTATAACTGTGAAGACTGTGTGAACCTTCACCTCAATTTACTTGTGTGATTTTTTCAGCTGTGCAGACACATGGACAGCTTTAACTTTTATCCTTTCACTTATTTGTACACTGTATTGTAGGACATTAACTTGTGCACCTGCGATGTTGTTTACAGGTGTGCTACAGAAGCCAGAACTTCACTGATATGGCTTCTGATGGAGAATTTAAAGCACACAGTCCTGGCGAAACCATTGAAGCTCTTACAAAGGAAGCTGAGGCTTTGAAAGCGAAACTTGAAGAAGAGAGACAAAAGTTAAATGATGTTGCATGTAAGAAAGATAATTAAATTTATAAACTTTTGGATTATAATTTTTTATATGATAGTCAAGGCAAGATACATTCAGATTTGAGGAAGGAGGGAAGAAGTTCTTGTTCAGAGTTACGACTCCTAGTTCATACTGAGGAGGGTTTGTATTTCCTTTTTAGTTCAGAAACAAGCTAGAGTGCAGTTTATTTTCTTGTGGCTTTCAGTCCCTCTAGACATATTATGAGTGTGGAACTTAGTCATCACGAAGGGAATAACATAGATTGAGTGTGTCTGAGAATGGTGCTGAGGGAATATTTGGACTTATGAGAGATGAAATAATAGGAGGCTGGGGAGAGTTGCATAATGAGGAGTTCCATAATTTTAACTCATCATTAGATATTACTGCAGTGATCAAATCAAGGAGGGTGAGATGGACAGGACATGTAGCACATGGGAGATATGAGAAATATATACAAAATTTACAAAAAACTTAGACAACAGACCTGAAGGGAAGAGATCACTCTGGAGAAGTAGGTAGGATTGGAAAGTAATACAAGTTCTGAGAAGAACTGATTCCAGACTTTATTTTAATGTGACATGGACTGCAAGGAAAATGACACATCCAACACTTCTTCTGTTGTGTGTGTATTCATTGCAGCAGGAACATGTTTACCAATCAGTTTCCTCACAACAATAGGAGAAATACACAAACACAGAGATGGCATGGTGATTTCATAAGCATACTTTTATTTTTTTCAAAATAGGGAACATTGGCAAAAAAAATGGATCTTAAAAGAAGTACGGCAGGAGGATTTGGATGGGACTGAATTATCTGTCTCAGGACAGGGACGAGAGGCTAACTTTTGGGAGCACAATAGTGAACCTTTGGGTTCCGTAAAAGGCGGGAAATTTCTTGACCACTTGAGCAACTATCAGCCTCTTACAACCAACTCTGGTTTGTGGAGTTGGATCAGAACCTGTCAGAAGTTCCCTTGCTTTGCCATGTGCAGTTTGTATTGGCTGCATTAGGCAGTGTTAACAAACACATGAAATGACATTGTTTCTCACTGCAGTATCCACAGTAGCTGAACGGCTTGAGGTCATTAATTATCTCAATATCAAGCCTCGTCGTGTTCTCAAAGGTCACCAGGCTAAAGTGCTCTGCTCTGACTGGTCACCTGATAAACGTCACATTGTATCATCATCTCAGGTAATTTCATTTTTGAAATGTAGCTTAATTTCATTATACCCAAGTTACTGTGTTCTTGTAGAACAGAACTTGGGAAAGTGAATGCTGTCTGCCCTTAGCACCAGATCTGGCATGTTACATGCATGGGGAGGGGGGAAATAAAATAGATGTGCTATGATAAGCAGGAACTACAAATAAGTTACCATTACAGAAGTTCTGGAAATGTCTGCTGTGTGTTCTAAGTTCATCCATTATGAGGGTAGTACATGTTTTCAGATGTACAAACTTGGAGTTATTACTTTTATACCCTTTAAGTGGGGGAGGGGGATTTTTATAGGCAAAATCCCTTGGCTTCATATGTAGGAATTGTGAAGGCTACATGCCAAACTTACTATTCTGTCATTGAGCACATGTTGCAACACTCTTTCGTTATAAGCTGTGATGTAATCATGTCAGAAGTATCCAGAACGTCTTTTAATGTCTAGAAGACTCACAAAATGGGAAGAAAATAACATCCCTCAGTTACAGTGTTTTTTTGTATGTGGTATGTAAATACTATAGAACATATTCGTATTATGAGAGGGGGTGGGTTTCCCCATGCACTTAGACCAGTTATTTGTCCATTGTGCATCCCCCTTTAATTTCTACTGTCGCCATACCCTACCGGTAACGGTGCGTGCCATCAGCCCCCGTATAGCCAACGAGGTCAGCCCTCGGTACCTTGATGCTTCCCCCATCCACCAGAGGCATTGGAGACTACTTGGGTGGGAAAGGGCCTGTAATTTAGCTCAGAGGTCTCCTAGAGACATGAGGTTCTTTTACGTGCCGTAAATCTATGACACGGGACACACGGCTTAAAGTCCCTCCCGGAGGACTTGTTCCCTGAATTTTTCCGCCCTTAAAAATTCCACGACCTCCGCCGGGTTTGAACCTGCGTACCTTGAGTCATGAGGTGGGAACGTTACCCCTAGACTACGGAGGCCGCTCTATAGGAACATATGCTGACAGTTTCTTTTGACATCACACTCAGCCTCTACTTCTTAATTCTCTTTTGAATACCAAGATTGGTCCTGTTATATGTATTTCCTTCATTAAGCTGCAAGTTGTAATCAGTGGCATTTCTCCTTTGTAGACATTTGCACCTAAATGAATTTTGTTGCTTGTACAGCTGATGGTTGAATGTATTGGAAAATATGAAATTGAACTGTATTTCACTATTGTTATGATTTATGCATTCTTGGTACTTTCTGCCTAAAGTAAATAGATAAAGAGATCACATTCATATGCCCGTTTCATCTCCCAAACCATCTAACAGAATTTGATTAAATTGAGTATAGAATGGAACAAACTGAAGGGTTCAGTAATTCAGGCTGCAGACAAAGTACTAAGAAGATACAATAAAAGGAGTTTATGGAGTTTGAACCAAAACATAGCTCACGTAACAGCAGAGAAAAAGAAAGCATACCTACAGTTTCTGCAGACTAAAACAGAAGCTGTCCAAACTGAATACAAGAGGATAAGATCAATCAAGAAAAGAGAAACAAGATGAATAAACAGAAAAGTTAGGATACATATATAAGTAACAAAGGGTAAAGATGTCCATGAACATCAAGAAACAGCATATGAAATACTAGGACAACTAAATAAAACAGGAAGAGATCAAGAAGAAAGCAGTGTTCTGGGATATTGTGTTAACACAATATCTACACGGCACCACATCCCAGAAGACTGCTTTCTTCATAGTCACCGCCATGAAAACCTAAAATCTTACACAGAAAGAGATTAAATCCAATTAAACTTTATGTCTAAGGATGAATGAAGTAGACACTTTATAAAGATTTATGCACAATATAAGAAGAACCCATTATAAACGCTACAACAGATGAGAATGTAGAAACCATATCAGTAGAACTGATAGAAGTTATGAAATATAGAAAGAATAAAAAGGCACTGGGCTGTGACAGAATAAACCTAGAACTTATGAAATATGCACTGACTGTGTTTCATTACAGATTCTTAGATCTGCTGACTATATGATGGAGGAATAGATATAGCCATGAAAGCCAAAAAAGGAAACCGAGAAATTTGTGACAATTATTGAGATATTAGTTTATTATGTGCAGCATAAAAATTATGTCAAAATAATTTCAAGGAAAATAAGTGTAATAAGTGAACCCTAATGAAGAAGAAAATAGATTTAAAAGAGGAAGATCTTTCATGGACAATGTATTTACAGTCCAGCATCTCCTGGAAAGGCATATATAGAGAATCTAATCTGGAAATCACCTGCTCTTTGGAGACTATGTAAAAGCATTTGATTCAGTTTTATGAGAAGAATTATGGGAAACAGTGATTGAAAATGAATGTCCAACACATCTAATAAGAACAATCCAAAGGATATACCAAAATACATCCATAATAGAAAAAGACAGAATAAATGATAATACACAGAGCTTGACAAGGATGCCGTTTGTGACTGGTACATTGGCAAAGTCATTGAAGATTGGTTGCAGATGACCAAACAGAATATTCTAGCAAAGGATTTAGTTTTAAGTACAGCCATATTTGTGGATGAGCAGGTGATCAAGTACATGTGTGAACATGGTAACGAACCTTTGGGTTCTGTGTAGGGTGGGGAATTTCTTGATTAGATGAGCACATGTTTAGATCTTCTCAAGGACTTTGTTCGTGCAGTTAGTGTGTATACATGGTGATATCTGCTGGGAAAGTTTTTAAAACATGCAGCAACCTGCAGGTAGATGTCTGTTCTCAGGCATACTGATTGTTACACTCCACTAGTGAGTCATCTCTGTGCAGATGTGTTTAAATCTACACAACTTTTCTTTTATATACTGCTTGCTGAAGATAGCAGTACTTATATGTATAAATTTCTTTCAGCGATAGTCTTTGTAGATTATATCTATGAGGACTGTTTGGAATATAACCTACAGTGAGCTGTTAAAAACTGAGCAGTGAGAAAAAAAGACTTTATTATATACAGAAAATACATACATACTTAAGCTATTTTGGAGCACAGTCACCATCAGAAATGAGGCATTTGTATTGGGAATAAGTTTTTATATGCTTGTGTCAAAGAAGTCTGCTTCCTGTGAGCAAAGCCACGTTTTGACACCTTCCATCAGCTCGTTCCCATTGTTGAAGATCTGTAATCCCAACCAGTTCTTCAGGTAGGAAAGTAAATGATAGTTGTTCAGAGCAAAAATCAGGGCTGTAAGGGTGGTCAAACAACTCCCAGTTGAATGCTCTAGCAGTGCTAAAGTGGGAGCAGCTGTATGTGGACACACATTGCCATGGAGGACTACTACACTAGATGTCAGCATTCCACACCTTATGTTCTGAATGGCCCTATTATTGTAGTCCCTTGTTGCATGAACTCCACCATCAGCTTTCTGGCAGACATTTTCTTAAACTTTTTCGACTTGTTCAGTGGATGTGCATTCCCTGCTTTGATTGCTCTTTGGTTTCAAAATTCACAAAGGAAACCAAGGTTTCATCACATGTTACTCATATGATGTGATTGAGAAATTCATCACCATCTTTGTGGTATCACTCTGAAAAAGTCAAAATAAAAGCCATTCTCTGTGTTTTATGCACACCTGTGAGCAATTTCAGTATCCATCTTGCGCAAAACTTGTGGTAGCCTAGCCTGTGATAATCTCAGAGAGAAGAGTGTATGAAATTTGTGGAAATTCACATGAAAGTTCTGAAATTGTGAATCACAATCTTTCACAAATTTTTTGGTCAACACTTTGAACAAGAACATCACTTACTACAGATGGCCAACCACTTCGCTCTTCATCGTGAACATTTGTTCGCCTATCTTTGAGCATTCTACACCATTATCTTACAATATAGGCACTCATTATATTTTGGCCGTAAACCAGCGGGCATAATTTATGATTGATTTCAGCAGCACACATGTTTCACCATGAAAAAAGCAGATAAGTGTGAATTCTGCAGCTGGCAGGATTATCAATCGCAGGACACAACATAACTTGCTTTGTAGAGACAAGAACAGACATTAGGTGACCACTTATGTGTTGGTTTACAAGGCAATGAGTATGTGACGTTACCTCGCATGCACTTGCTCCCCCCTGATCCTAAATTAGTTGCCTGAAATAAACAGACATTACTTTCCGAATAGCCCTCGTATATTAAAGCACTGCAATTTTTGATGAATTTTAAATATCAATTAACCTTTTTAATATGAAGTGTACATGCATGAAATATTATATATTCTGCCACCACTGGCATAGATTTCTGCTTCTGCAGCCACTGCATGTGGGTATCAGTGTGTTGGATATGGGAAATTTGATCTAATTAATGTTAACACTTTGTGCGTTCTTATACATTTCTTATAATCAGTTTTGACACTGTGTTAGAATATTGGTTTCCTTTAAGTGTCAAGTAGTGGAGATGGCAGTGATATGATGATGATAATGGAAGTTAATGTTTCAGGATGGCAAGATGATAATATGGGATGCATTCACAACAAACAAAGAACATGCAGTGACCATGCCTACAACATGGGTGATGGCATGTGCGTATGCTCCATCAGGAAATTTGGTAGCTTGTGGGTTAGTTTCATTTCACATTGTAAGTATGTAGCTTGAGATGTGCAACCATAGGAACAATGCTGTACAGTATTTTGTTTGAGCAGCCACTTAGCTGATCAGAAGTCAGTGTGCAGTGATTCATACACTAATAAAAACATATGCCACTGCAAGGTTTCTACTGTTATAAGAAGTGTATTTTTTTTTCTCATCCTTTCAAATTTTCTATGCATAATTATCCTGTACTGTTATATAACTTATGGAATTGATACACAGTTATTAAATAACCAAAGATGTAAGCAACCAAAAGTTTTAAAAATTATATGGTTGTGATATCAGCTACATAATTTCCATTATGTATATGAGATGTGTTCAATTTTTTTTTTATCAGGGGACTGGACAACAAGGTGACTGTATACCCTTTAAGTCTGGAAGAGGATGTGTCAACGAAGAAGAAAACTGTAGGAACGCACACTAGTTACATGTCATGCTGCACTTTTCCCAACTCTGATCAACAGGTTTGCATTATTTAGAAATACGATGCAAGGATGTGGACTGGATTCATTTGTCCCAGAATAGGAATCAGTGACAGGCTTTTGTTGACTAACTGGATGACACTTAGCTTCTCAAGAATGACTCTGCTCCAGGAATTATTTAATCTTTATAGTAACAAAACTGGCAATGCTGTAACTCAGGCAGTTAGTGCCAATTTCTCTTTGTGGATTCCAGGGCAGTCTGTGGGATTTGTGGTGGAAAAACTAACATGGAATAGATTTTCCTCTGAACACTTTGGTTTCTGTCATCAGTCATCATCCCACCAGTAGCGGCCTCCGTAGTCTAGGGGTAACATTCCCACCTCGTGACTCAGGGTATGCAGGTTCAAACCCAGCGGAGGTCGTGGAATTTTTAAGGGCGGAAAAATTCAGAGAACATGTCCTCCGGGAGGGACTTTAAGCTGTGGATCCCGTGTCGTAGCTTTACGGCAAGTAAAAGAACCTCATGTTCCAAGGGGACCACTGAGCCAAATTCAGGACATTTCCTGCCCAACAGTAGTCTCTAACGCCTCTGGTAGATGGGGGAAGCATCGAGATACTGCTGAGCCAGTAGAGGCTGAACTCACTGGCTGAGTCGGGACTGATGGCATGCACCAGTACCGGTAGGGAATAGAGACTGGTAGAATATCATAAGGGGACGCACAATGGACCAACAGTTGGTCTAAGTGCATGGGGAAACCCACCCTCTCCAATACAATACAAATCCCACCAGTTCTGTTCTCAGATGTGTTCACTGCTCTTCAGGAGTGCCATAATCCTGCTACCCAACATGTTATGACAACCGTGGTCTTTATAAGGGAATTTGGTTAGATGGCAAAATAAATTATATGCCACTTCAGATTGCTAACGATCATAAGGATCATTGTGTGTTATGTAACTATTACACTTTGTGACATAACTTCTATATCTTTGAGGTTCTAATAAGTGGCTATTATGAAGAGTATTGTGTTCTGGGATGTAACACCATGTAGTGTGGTACGCGTTCACTGGTATTTCAGAGGAACATACTGCCTCCATCTTAGGGGCCAGAGAGAGAGCCCCACAAGAAGAAGCTCCTTGCTGGCTAGTGATTTGCTTGCCTCAGTCCTTGATCCTGAAGGTATATTAAAGGTGTACTTTACATATAAGACCACGCAGCCCATCTACATTACCTAACAACTGGTACCCTACATGCGCTCACACCCATTTCAAACATTAAAATTAAAGAAATTAGAATTATGTTTTTATTTAATTACTGGATTTTAATTTTTAACATGTTTAACTTTTAGCACAGATTATTCAAGACATACCTCACAAAAAAAAATTTAATTAAAATTTAGATAATAATGATGTGTAAAAAATGGACCCATTTTGATAATCCAGTAATGACATGTCTTTATAAAACCAAACGTATTGAAGAAAAGCAGTGGCATGCACACAGAGAGCTTGCATAAAAATAACACGTGAGCTGTGCTGAAAGCAAGAAGTAGCCACTGCAGCACATATAAGCATAGAGCAAATAACACATGAGCTGTGCTGAAAGCAAGAAGTAGCCACTGCAGCACATATAAGCATAGAGCAAATAACACGTGAGGTGTGTGCTGAAAGCAAGACGTAGCCACTGCAGCACATATAAGCATAGAGCAAATAACACATGAGCTGTGCTGAAAGCAAGAAGTAGCCACTGCAGCACATATAAGCATAGAGCAAATAACACATGAGCTGTGCTGAAAGCAAGAGGTAGCTGCTGCAGCACATATAAGCATAGAGCAGGTATCTCTGTGATTTTTTACTTTAAATTTTAAATATTAAAGCTAAATTGAGAATTTAAAATTTTAAACCAATCGATGAATCAATGTTAATAAAGATTTTAAACATAATTAACAAAACCTACAAAGGGAGTTTTGGAGTATTGGGTGCCGATTGACAACAGAGCAATGAAGAATTGGAAATCTGGAGTTCAAATGTTAATATCGAGTACAGTGTGACAGCTACATGAAGTAAAATACACCTGATGATGGCCACTTGCAGCCGAAACGTAGTGTGAAAGAAGGGGACAAGAACTACAATAAAATGTTGCATTTACGACGAAGTTTGTATTATACATATAGAAGTGTGGAATGTAACAGAATGCTTAAACATAATATAATAAAACCAAATGTTGATGATTTTTATAGATCAAAACATGTACTGGGATGAAAATAAAATAACCTGAATATTAAACGTTTTAATTTCAGTTTACAATCAGTTGTATTAACATCTCAAAAATATAACATTAATAAATGATACATGACAGGATGCAGAAAATGAAGATACTTGATGCTGAACACACAGGCAGTATGATCCTCTGAAACATCAATGAAGTTCTGTCAGACTATGTGACATTACTGCTGTATTGGATTTGATTTGCAAATGGAACGAATAATGGGCAGATAATTCACTGTGTTTTCATCCTTACAGATTCTTACTGGCAGTGGAGATTCTACTTGTGCATTGTGGGATGTTGAGTCAGGTCAGTTGCTTCAGAACTTTCATGGGCATGCAGGAGATGTTATGGCCTTAGATTTAGCACCATCAGAGACTGGAAACACATTTGTGTCAGGGGTAAGAACCTTACTGTATGAGAGAATTTTTTACTTCCCTCAATTTTATACTGGTAATTTGTTTTTAATGACTCGTATATTTCCAGAGTTGTGATCGAATGGTTCTCATTTGGGACATGAGAACTGGCCAGTGTGTACAATCATTTGAAGGCCATCAATCTGATATTAACAGTGTCAAGTTTCACCCTAGTGGTGATGCAGTGGCTACAGGATCAGATGATTCAACGGTTGGTTAAAGCATTTATTAATCCATCATGATATCTGTACAAACAGTGGCAAGGTCCTTGGTTATTTTGTTACAAAACATGAAATATTTTTTCCATTTTCCTGCTTCCAGTGTCGATTATTTGACCTGCGGGCTGACAAGGAAGTTGCCATTTACAGCAAAGAGAGTATAATATTTGGTGTAAACTCTGTGGATTTTTCTGTGAGTGGTAAGTTTTTTAATTAATTACGTGGGCGAGACAAGCACTTGTATAGTTCTTGTTTTGATATACATTCTTCCCCCTTCCACTTCATAGAGATTTGAAACTGACCAGTATAAATGGATGACTTCTCAGTGTCTGACTGTAATATTATCTTGAACAGAGTTCAAGAACACATCTGATGTTTTTAAAAAGTTAAGGTTGTATTAAGGCATTTCTTGAACACTCATATATGTTTTATACTGTGGATGAATATCTAAATAGATAACTTTTATAATTGTTGTATTCATTGTACTGTCTAGTTGTGTAATAACTATGTATTCTATGTTTTATAATATTGTCACGCGCGACAAATCACTATATTCAATATGGCGTGAAGTTAATTTATTCCACATTCGCTCTTACACTCACACAATTTACAATTACATTTACATCCAATGCTCTTGGCGACTTCACGATCCACACTGTGTCACTCCTGATCACACACTCTGGTCACATACTGCTCGGCCGGCTTTTTATACCATTCCCTGTTGCCCGTGTTACGTCAGAGTGGGAAGTGCTGTTACATCACTGCGGGGGAGGGGGGTGGAGTGTTGACTGGCCTGTTACCGTAGCAGTGGCAGTGCTCTGATGCTGTTACATTACCGCTGGCGGGGGAGGGGGGTCCTGTATAGTGCAAATATGTCACAATATTCTATATCCATCTTTGGATCTCTTGAACTTGCTATACATGTAAACCTTTCCTACTCTGTTGCAGGGCGTCTGTTATTCGCTGGTTATAATGACTATACTGTCAATGTATGGGACTCCTTGAAATGTATCCGAGTGACATTGCTATATGGGCATGAAAACAGAGTGTCTTGTCTTCAGGTGTCACCAGATGGGACTGCACTTTCTACAGGAAGTTGGGATTATACATTACGGGTAATTTATTTAATGAATAGTCTGGTTTTCTGCTTTGTGATTTTCTTGTAAACATTTAAATTGTTTTCTCTTAAGCTGGAGAAACATAGGGACTTGCATATCACAGTTATATAATGGAAGTTGACTTAGTAACTATGACTGTTGGCAAAAATGATAGCGGGGATGGAAAAGTTAAGCCTTTATGTCCGAAGTGCACGTCGTTTCACTGAAAGGTACATTCATTGTGGCCAATGTACACATATTCATGCATTCAGGCACTTAAATGCCACTAGTAGAAGCTTATGTAGAATCTTAAAATTATTTTTAAATACAGTAAAATCCGGTGTATGTAACTTTTTTGTTACCTGCTTGATGCATATATAGGCTTCACCCCTCTCCCTCTTCATGGTCATCTAACTGAATCATACCTTTGTAAAAGTGGCCTCTCAAGCTGCTTAATTGTATTTAATAGGTGAAGTTATCCCTATTCTGGGAACGATGTCATGAACTTTATGAAGTGGAATGGTAGTGCTCCATGCATTCTAAACACTGAAAGGAGTTGAGTGGTGAATTTTATGCTTTGATTGTATACATTGGTGTGGCTGAGTAAATCCTAGAGCAATTCTGGAAGCTCTCCTGCCAGCTACAGTATGAAGCTGACCATCTACATTTAGTGCCGTGGTTAAGAATGTGTGAAGCTCTGCATCCATGTCTGCTGTATGCCTTCATGGTATAGTTCTTAATTACAGGAGTGACTTTATGTTTACCTTTACCTTAGTTTGTTTTCTGTATTGCAGCATATCTGTATCACTAGTCAGCAAGTGAATTCAGATCACCAGTGGTAGAAAACTAAAACACTAGAAAACAAGTGCAGTGTCAGAAGCAACTAGATGTTGGTTTCTAAACATAATACAAAAAATATAATAATTTTATCTACACAAAAATTTAGGCTAAATGCATAAGTAAGGTTTTATATTTGTATTATAATACTGTGGACGCCGTTCACATTGTTCATTGGTTTTATTAACAACCTAGAAGTCGTAACTACGATTAATTATAACACTGTTGTGGGTTTACACAATTTACAAACCCTACACACTGAATCATTCACTCTATCTTCAGTAGTTTTCACTTATTTACAGTATAACACGGGAGCTATACAAGTGTCACTGAATTACACATTCCCAATGCCCAATGCCTTTCAGTTATCACAAACTATCACTATCATACATAAAATCTTCTAATCACGCGTTCAGTTTTCCTCCTCCCGCGGCTGCTTCGACTGACTGACTTCTGTTCTGCGAAATACTGGCTCCTTAGTTACTCCAGTTTCTCTTATAAACCCTCCATCAGACAGGTGGAAAATGCAGCTTGTTTCACTGTTGCATGACTGCTGTGTTTACAGAGGTGTTGCTTGGCAACACTGTTGAGAGTTGTTTACAGCTGCATAGCAACCAGTGTGGTTCGGTTCAGCACGGCACGGAGAAACACCGCTTTCCTTATTGTTGTATAACCTCGTTCCACTGTTGCATAACTTGGCAACCAACTGTTTATCAAGAGTCTGTCTTCATGGTAACTCGTTCCACATCCCACTGCCCAACAGCGGTTTGACATGTCACAACACTCATAACCACATTATTAACCTATTGATGAGCTCACCATTTATAGTTTTAGAAGAGTCAGTTGTGTTCATCTTTTCACATTCATATATTGTGGTCTGATAATGGCACATAAGTGGTGATACATGTAGGTAAATGAAGTGTGTCTTATGTCAAACAGAATATATAAACCATTTTTGTACCTTTGTTGTTTGAACTCAATTTCAGATTTTGATTTATGTTTCAGGTGTGGGCCTGAGCTGGGTTCAGGTGTATAATGAAGATATCAGATACTTTAGGATGTTAAGCACTTCCAGAATAAATATTTCTTACTGAAATATATCTGTATCTTCTCCACTACTCATTCATATTTAACTCATAATATTACTGGATATCATCATGGTGATGCACACAAACTGTGATCTTATCTGTAAGATATTGACTATGATATTTCATGTTGCAGATACACATACTCGTAATTTTCTCAGTACTAATAATAGTGTACAAGTGTATATGGGAAGACTGTTATTTAACTTCATGCCATCTAAATAACTGAGATGTTTGTGTTATAAATTTTACTGAACAGAAAAGTATATGATTTTTGTGCCATATTCATGTATGTTGACCATTTTTAATATTATCATCACCATCATTATAATTACATATTAATTTATATAATACAGCCGTATGGCAAGAAGTATTCATAATGTGCTTTTACAGCTGAAGTATAGTTTTGTGATATTTCAAGAAAATGTTCTCGAATTCAGTAGATCAAGTATGATCAGGTTCAACTTCTCTTCTCCATAGTAATGGTATAAATGTACTGTAGGAACATATGAAATACAATGTTATGTTGTAAAATGTCACAGCTACTGGATATCTGCTGATGATAATTTGTCCACCTAAGCAGGTTGCCTCAAAACCAAGTAGCCTGATTTGTAATTATGATGTATCCAAACCATCATGAATTTTCATGCTTTTTCTGTCCTTCCACATATATGCCAGGGCAATTTTCTGTGACCATTTCACACCCCATGTTTTCTGATTCACTGTGCAAAGTCTCACACTTAAGCAGACACCAAATTACACTTGAATTTGACAGTGCATACATATCGTCCAGGAACACTTCTCTGTGTTCAGTAAACTTATTGACTCATAGTTTCTGATCCCTGCAGGTCAGTTATAATTGTTTACATGTTTTGGACAAATGAGACTGGAATGCATCAGTTATGCACTCAGTTGTGATCTTCAGTCTCTCTCAGACCATGTGATGATGGTACTTGTTATCCCATTTTTCTTTTACATGTTTCTGAATCAGAAGTTTTTCCATGACATGTTGTAGCTTTAATCATACCAGATATTCCTGCTGCAGTTTGGTACAAGAACCTAATATTTTAATGTGTAACTGTATCAAGTTTAGTGTTCTCTCCTTGAATCTTCATGGTTACATGACACATCTAGCTTCACACTGTAGTCTGGTATAGTGGATACCTGTGTTTCAGAGGGACATACTGGCTCAATTTCCAGGGTAGAAGTGAGCAGAGTTGGGAAAGTGACAGACTATATAGACATGTGGGGAAGAAACAAGTCTTAGTCTTCACCGCCATAAAAACCTTAAGTCTTACATATATGTCTATTTATATCTAGTTGTTTGCGTAGGACAGACCTTTCATGTTGCCTGTTCTCCAAATACTGAATTGTTTCCATTAATCCTTAGTTACTCTGAATACAGTAGAACAAAAGTAAATGTCTCCTGCCATACTTATTGTACTAAAATGTAGCACACAGTGACTGTCACTCTTAGAACATCCAGTAACTTGGATTACCTGAAAATGTAACGAAACGTTTCCTGTACCCTGTTGCTTTATCCCAGAATTATAAGTATGGAACACTTAACAGTGTTTAGTATTTGGATCTCAGTTTTTGTTCCTATTGCTGATTTATACAAGATTAAAATATATTTAATATGTAATTAATAAATAACATATTAGAAGTTGACATGCTGTTAAATTTATTCAAGCAACCAGAGGATGCTTTGTTGAAATTAATCCAATGCACAGGCATTTATAATACCACTAGTTGCATTGAAAAGATGTGTGATAAATGTATGTGTGTCACCTTTGTTAATAAATGTAATCTGCAGACTTCAGTGTGTACACTAAAATGTCGTCACTGAAGATAATGTCATGGCCAAAGTTTCAGAGCCATTACACAATGAATTTATAGAGAGCTGGTAAAAAATTTAATTCTAGGTTATATTATGTTTTTATAGTCAAAGTGTTGCCATAAACAGTATGTTATAATCTAGAAATTAAAACAGTGATGTACAAAGTAAATGTGTTACAGTAAAGGTTTTGACAAAGCTAAGAAACATTTGTTTTTGTTTATTAATTATAATTTTATTGAAGGAATGTTAGCTTTAATTTTACCTGTCAAATCTGATCTCATCCCTTACAAAAAAAAAACACTGCGAACATGGTGCTGAGGAGAATATTTGAATATCAGAGGGAGATATTAACCGCTTCAGTGGTATTCCCAGAATTTCACCATTATTCACTCTCACTCCTACTTAGTATACCCCAGGAAGTTCTCGGGCTCAGTGCACTGATGATTCTACAGGCTGTGTAACAGCTGTTGTATGTGTTTCTTATTATCAGAAGATTGCATCATCATATGGAGTGATCTATCATGATGTTCTGAATGTGCCAACTTATTACGCTTTTCTTAAGGCAATTATTTAATGATGCTCTCAGTATCAGGACTATATAGCATCAAACAATGACAGTGTATTTTGTATTTTTTTTAATCATAGCTCATTATACATAGCAATTGCTAATGACAAGCATGGCTACAAGGAAAAAGAAGAGTTTGTTTCTTGAGCTGATTTGTGTTTTGGAGGACTGAGGATGATTCTAAAAGTAATCTAAACTTGAAGAAAGCAGTCTTCTGGGATTTGGCACCGTGTATATGTGGTGTTAACCGACGTTTCGGAGGAACGTATCCTCCATTGCGGATTTCTTATATTTTTCTTCTACCCTGAGGATAGAGGCGATACGTTCCTCCGAAACGTCGGTTAACACCACATATACACGGTGCCAAATCCCAGAAGATTGCTTTCTTCATAGTCACCGCCATAAAAGCCTCAAATCTTACAGAATCTAAACTTATCAGATGGTAAATTTGAAACTTTTTATTGCTGTAGCAGTTCAGATGAAAGTAGTGAAATAGAAGTAATAGCAAAGGCAGATATATCAATTACATCTACTGGGTGATTTTTATGAGAACCTAACATTAGGAATGTTATGTATTGGAAGGCTAGGACCATTTTGGCAAAATTTTTATGCACAGTGCAGCAACTAAACAGCATGGTGTTCAGTGTAGAGAAGTGTGTGTTAGCTCAGAACAGAATTGTTTAAAAGAGGCCAAAGTGATAACAGCCACCAATTTGGATGCCCAGCACCAGTAAAATCTGTGATATGGTTGATAGAAAATTAGCATAGAAGTGGCATAATAAAAAAATGTTCAGTGCTACCTATCATTTGCGCAAGAAAGAAGATGCAATCAGGAAACCATAAATGGTAAAGGAATATGATTTGAGCATGGATGAGCTGCCAGGCTGGACCAGAAAATAAAGAATTGTGTCCAACAAAAAGTGTAGTGATATAAAGAACTTTTCTTCCACCTACATAATATTACAATTGTAAATTCACGCATTGCGCGTGAGAAGACTGGGGAGCAGAATGAACTACTTACGGAATCTTCCCAGAGTTGTTCATGGAATACATTATGGAGAAAATAACTTTTTGAAGTGGAAGATCATCAAAAATACATCCACCTGCATTGGAAGACACTTCCCAGAACATATTCCACCCACTGCTAACCAAACACGTGATCAGACACAACGGCATGGCGTAACGTAACCTGAATGAAACATCTAGATGCATCTAATACATCACAAGGAAAGCAGAGCAGGCTCCTTAAACATACTTCGTACAATATTATAGTTAAGCATTCTGTTGCACTTTATATGATATATGCTATAACTCCATCCTAAGTGCAAACTATATTTATAGGTCTTTCGTTTTGTTCCTCTCTATACACTACATGTTTCGGCCCCAAACGGCCATCATCAGGTGTATACACTCACTTATCTGTTACACTGCACTTATTTATAACATTTAAAATTTAAAAACATAGGTCTTTGTACTTTGTACACCTGATGATGGCCAGTTAGGTGGAAACGTTGCGAAAAAATGCAGAAAGAAACATTAAAACCTGGTGGATTTTGATCGAGTTGCAAAAGGATGGATAAGAATCAGAACAGTATTCAAGTTAGCAGTAACTTTATGAGACACAAAGATAAAGAGATGTACTGCAAGCTGAGATTATGGCAGAAGTAAACTACACTCAGAAAGCATCTAAACAGAATGCTAGACAGTGGGCTACCAAAATTAGCTTACTTTACATAAACCNCCCAGGGGGGGGGGTCCAAAGTAGATGGCAATATGTCTTAAAACTTTTGAACACTGGGATGGACTTGCAACACCCAATACTTGCATTAAATGGAGGAGAAGAAGTGATATGAGGCTTCCCAATTTGAATTCCATATCAAATGCCGATAAAATAAAGGAGGACAAGATAGGAAGAGCACGTAGCATGTACAAAATGAGAAATACAAAGTTTTAGCTGGAGAATTTGAAGGGAAGGGACCTGAAACACCTAGGTGCAAATGGGACAATACTAAAACATATCTGATAGAAACATGGTGTGTGCTGGATTCACCTGACTCAGGATATGGACCAGTAGTAGGCTCTTGTGGACACACTGAGTGAATATTAGCTTCTCAAGAACTGTGTTCCTTGGAATTGAAAGCCTACAAATTGTGCAGATTTAACAATGACAGAAACTCATTCCATGGCGCAAAGTCACATTCACTCATCTGGCCACAAAGTTCCCTGTTTTTTGCAACTAGAAAGTTCATGCTGTTGTTCAAAAAAGCTCACTACTGCACACTATCATAAGCTCATTCATCCTAGTTCAAATCCTCACAACCTACCTCTAAGATCCATGTTAATCATTTAGATCTCCATATATTCATTAACATACTATAAATGTTGTACAAACTTTTGTTTTTGTGTATTAAAATTAGAAACATTGGCAAGTACAGTATGTTATAAGTTTGTCTACTCACTATATATAATGTAAAGTTATCTCTGTGCCTAACTAATTAAGCACTATATTNAGTTGGAGAAGAGAGAATTCTTGGTCCTACCCGGACTTGAACTCAGACTCCTCAGTTGTCCTGCCTGTAGCCAGTTGCTATACCGACTGTGCTATCCCACTGACTATATATAATATAATTAATTAAAATATTTTAAAATAAATGGCTCCAAATTTTAACACAACTTTGGTACAGGTATATATGACACTGTTACCTCACAAGTATTAAGAGCTTCAAATGAGTGATTACTGGGGAGACCAAAGAAGGAAACATATATAAATGTAAACAGCTTCTTCAGGATCAGTGGAAAGGTTTGTTAGCAGTAAACCTGTTAATTAAATCAAATGCCCACTTAGACTGGTCTGATGGAACCATATGTCCAGCATCTCTTACCAGAATCTCTGTCAAATGGTTTACAGATTTTGCATATCCAGCTAAATCATTACCAACATGCCACTGCAACCTTGGTGCTGTTTTATATGCTGCAGCTCCACTCCAATCTAGAGCTTGCAAGAATCCCAGTGTAAGGGGATATGCTACAATGATATCCAACTGCCCATTGTAAATCAGCACCCTGTACTCCTCGAGTAAGATTTCCACCCATGGCTTCACAGACTGCATAATGTCTTGCTTCAGATGTTCTTCCACTTTGTTGTCTGTGTGAAATGTCAAGTTGCCTACATGGATAGCTTTTCGCACCTTGGCAAGCTGAATGTAGGTTCCCAATGCATCATTACCTTCTCCTTTATGATGCAAATAATTGAAATAGAAACTGAAGCCAGTCAAGTTGTAGAGGACAGTTCCACCGTGAACATCACCATTCAATAGCTTATCAAATACCTGTAATAAAAGAAAATGGAAGTCACATAAAACTGAAATACACATCATTTGATCCCTTCTTTCATAATCAATGTAGGAATGTTTTAATTTAGTAATATCTTGATTGTCTGCTAAGAGCTAATCTCAATATTAACACCACTAAAGTAATTTTATAGTACAATGTCCCGCAAATAATCCAGTCCCCTTTTTTTTTTTTAATTTGCATAGTGGGGGGGAGTCCAGCTGGGTCCACTTGGCATGTCGGCCACTGATTGGCCTATTGTACCTGCCCCGGGTGACTATGATGATGGAGAATTTGGTGGAATGAAGATTGGCAAGGTAAACCGAAGTACTCGGAGAAAACCTGCCTCAGCGCCACTTTGTCCACCACAAATCCCACTTGATCAGACCCGGGCTGCCATGGTGGGAAGCCAGCAACTAACTGCTTGAGCTATGACACAGCCTTTGATCCAGTCCCTTTGTGTTTCACATCTGCATCATTTACTTTTGGGTTGGGGTTTCATATGTACACTTAAACACCAAAAGCACTCTGCCAAGTGAGTGAAACCAACCTCTCCAAGGCCTATTTCTAATTTGATATGATTAATTAATTTGTATTTATTTGTTTGTTCAAAATTTAGTTACAACATTTGTATTTGTTACAATGACATAAAAATCAAATGTCATGCTACTTTGTTTCCTACAAGCAGTATGGAGTTGCAACAGAAGTTAATTTGAAAATTATAAATAAATTTCTCTATCTTAAACCTGGGAAAAAATATACAAGTTTTACAGTTCAATGAGCGGCAAATACATAATGTTAATGTACTCTCTTACTTTCCCCCTTCTGAGGAAAGGGAGGACTATAGCATTACCAAGTGTCTCCTACCCATACGCTCATCTTTAACCTTTAAAGGACTAACATCCAACATATCAACATTTCAATGACTTGGTTAGCAGTGGAATGTCCAATATATTGACAATCTCACATCTTAACGGTGAGTGGTCAGCCAAAAAAATAAAAAAAAAATAAATAAATATAAAAAAAATGCAATTTTACTATGCATGGTTACAGCAGTCACATTTTTATTTAAGTATTCATTTTTAAGTTCATAAATTTTCTGCAGGTTCTTTGTTTTAAATAACAATAATATTCATTTGGCACAAATAAATGGAATTTGGTCAAAAAATGATGAAACTTTCAAAGTATGAGGCACTCATTCCTCTATTACATTGTTTTTGTTTGAGATACATATATTAACAGCAATGATATACAGGGGTTGGACAAAATAATGGACACATTACAGATACTGTACACATTAGTCTATTATTATGGTATTGGACCACCTTTTGCCTTCAATACAGCTGCAGCCCTTCTTGTAACAGACTTGTACAGGTTTTGAACAGTCTCTAGCAGAATTTTGTACCATTATTCTTGAAGAACATCTTCAAGTTTCTTTAGGAATCTCTTCCTCACTCTAGTCTCCAAAACTGACCAGAGTTGTTGAATAGCGTTCAAATCTGGTGATTGCGATGGCCAGGGTAGATGCTTAAGTTCACCTTCATGCTCTTCAAACCATGACTGAACAGTTTCACCTGTGTGAATGGGGGCATTGTCATCTTGGAAATAACGTCTGGATTATGGAAGGCACCTGATTACCCAGCCTGTCCACATACTCCCTTGCAGTAATTTGGCCATTAAGGGTAAAAATGGGACCAACAGAATACTGTACCACAATATTGCTTCCCAAACCATCACAGAACTTCCCCTATGTTTCAATGTTGGGATCATGCATTCCAGGCTGCAGGCTTCCTTGGGTATTCTCCAAACATAAACTCCTCCTGATGTAGGGAACAGCATGAAGGACGACTCATCTGACCATATTATGCGTGTTTTTCCAGTTGTCTGCTGTCAGGTTTTATCGTCATGACACCACTATTTACACATCTGAGAATTATTTTCAGTAATCAGGAGTTTAGCAATTGCGGCCCTACCATGGTTGTTGGATTTGTGAAGCTCACAGCTGACAGTTTTTGTGGTAACAGGGTGTTCAAGATTAATATTCAGTTCTGTTGTCACCTATGCTGCAGTAGTTGTGTGAATTTTTTAAACAATCCTCAATGTATGACAATCTCTGTCAATGTCAATTTTCTCCAACTGTCCCTCTTCATTGATGTTGTCTTCCCATCATTCGTATAAGCCCACATAACCTTAGAAACTGCTGCTCTCGATACACCTAATTATGTGGCAGTGTTTGTCACAGACACTCCAGCTAAATGTGTACCAATGATCTGTCTTCTTTCAAAATCAGATGAGTCTCCCACCTGCTGATTCTTTCACGAAGACTGTCACTCAAAACAATCACTAATACATTGACACAAGCACTACAAAGTGTAAACAAATGGAAGAACATTCAGTGTTTCCAACTGAAGTTCTTTCAATGCAGCCATTGCTCTGTCCACCCCTTGTATATTTTTCTCTCATCTGGTGCAATCAGTATTTAAAACTAACACTTTAAATTCCATCTGAGTGTGAAGCAGGGGTTTAAATGCTTAGAAGTTTAAACAAATATACAGATCTTCATTAAACTTGGTATGGATACCATCCCAATGGAGGATGGTTCACCTCAATACAGTGGATATTTAACACGATTTATGTCTCTATGCACTGAAGCAGTTCTCCTTTGATTATCTTTGACAAACAGTACAGGAAGATCAAACCAAAGAGGTGCCAAAAACACAAAGGAAATCTGTGGAAGGTATGTACGTGTATATTTGTGACTAAAATTAATAATTCTATGGTTTCCGTATTCAGACGCAATCAATATTATTTGGTAACAAAGTAAGTTGCAGTCACTGCAAAACATCTGCTAAACCAATGGTGATGATCATATTTAATTTAAAACATAAAATGAAATGGGTCCATACCATGATGAGTATTCATGACATGATTAATCATTTGTGTTTATAACTTACGTCAAAAGCTTCATTCCACTTCTTTTCCTGAATATATTTCATCGCCACATCTTCCATTTTATGAAAAACTGTCCTTCCATTCACATCTATAAGTCCAATTTGGTAAAGATAATCTCCATACTTCAGCATGTGCTCAGGGTCACAGAGACCATTGCCAATAGCCATACCTGCAAAAGAAACACATGGAAATCTAATATGACATGGGAAATTACTCCTTCCTGCATTAGAAGCACTTCACATTCTTACCCGAAAATCCCGAGGAGAATTAATGAGTATGTGTATAAAATACAGTAAACTTCAATTTGTCACAAGTCAAGGACAATTTTTAACTTCTTTACTGTTATGGATGGTGCAGCCTTGGCATCATTTAGGAGACCTGTATAGATAGGAGTATAATATTACAAGAGATTTTTGAGAAAGGAGTATGTGAAGGTCTGGACTAGATTCAGCTGGCTCTGGATATGATTCACTATTAAGTTTTTGTGAATGTGGTAACAAACCTTGAGACTGTATGAAAGCAGGTAATTTATTGACCACCTGTATGACCTTCTACAATGCAGTTACCTTCATTTTATATGAATGCACTGACTGTGGATATGGGTAAAACTACCGTTCATGTGAAAGCATACTGCAGGTATGCAAGTAAAGATTTCTGCATTCTGCACCTTGACACTAAGATGGTAAGATGGGGCCGAGTTATCAGCTTCAAGCCTCGACCAGTATGCACTGCATCTGCAAAGACCCTGGAATTGTTCTGTTTTCATGTTGAGGAAAATCCCAATCCTACTGGAGTTTGGCTGTAATTTGTTTCAGTCACTTAACTATTATGATTCGTAACTGACAGATTTTTACATTTTTGTTATTCATTAATACGAACCTTTATTGATCAAGTATTCCATTTATTCAATACTAGTAGTATTACCTCCAAATTATATTGAGACTGGCAGCTCTGTAGTACTGGGGAATTTAAAAATCTCCTGTTTTTCAGACAACTAAGGTTAATATTTGATATTAATATTACATACATGAGAATCAAGTGCTGGAAATATTGTTGTGTGACAGACTGACTACAGATGGGGTTTGGATTGGTAATTGAATTTACTGAACTCTTACACAACTCAATACTAAAAGTATTATGCTCTCACTGTTCTACACACTTCACAAATTATTATAGGGCACACTAGGTCTTCTCAGTCTGTTACAGTCTGCTCTAGCCATTACTTGGCAGTGGCTTCCAATGGTGAATGTTCCCCTTCCTCTGGGTTCCCCAGCTTCAGCTATCAGCTTCTCACAGCAACAGCTCACAACAGCTAACCCCACACAGAAAACAGTGTTCCTCTGTTGCTGTTTATGGGCCGCTGCTTAGTAACGGCCACTGTATAGTTGCTAATTTCATGGTTGCTGCCTAGCAATGGGTCTACATGTCACAATATTCATACAGCTTTCTAACATTCTTCTTTTCCCTTTGTACCTGTTTTCTCCTCTCTTTTCTCCCATATTCCTTTCCGTTCCCACTTATTTATCCACCATAATTATCACTCTCCTCCCCGTATCCTAGCAATGGCAGAAGATTGGTTACATTTTCCCTGTGTCCTAGAACAGCATGTTGGGTTTCCCTGAGCATGACAGAAGCTGGCCATTATTTACATGCAGATATTTCATTTGTCTATTTGTTAATAAAGAATTAGGAAATTCCTCAACTGAGATAATGATTTTATCCAACACTGAAATTTCATATTTGTATAATTTATTTTATTATCAGTGCAGTTTGGAGTTCCTTCCGAGATTCAGCATCTATTATGAAAACCAATCTCAAAATTAAAGTATTCAATTCTTTTTACAGATCAAAATATACTGCATGACAAAATATGAGAGTAAAGGTCATGATAAAATTTTCAGATATTCAGAAATAACAGCCTTTTCTCCCCCAAATTTACCTTTTATGTTTTGTTTTCTATGTCCATCTCATTTCTGGTTTAGAGGCACCCATGTATACACATGCACACATAAAATAATATCTTCAGGTCATTTCTTTCCATACACATCGTGTTCAGCTGTCCACATTTATTCTTTTATTTAACTCATTACATCAGTAAAATGTTATGTGGGTCCTGTTAATATTACAAGAATAGACGTTGGTTATTTCTGAGCATCCATTAAATGCACCGTTCCACCACGTAAAACCTACCTTTCTCTAAATAAGTGTGTCTAAAGAAAACTGTGTTGTACATTCCTCATCAGACTTTATAACCCTCAAATCAGACAGAGAAATTATGTTAAATTCCACAAGGCAGTAAAATTTATAGAATCCTTCTGTCTTGATTTGCTGTATGTTTAGATTGATGACAGTGGTTTTATTCTTACCTTTAAAATTAATAACTTGCTTTGCACCTGGATTCTTTGTATGTATAGTGTATGAAAGAGCAGGCACATATTTGCCTATGAACAAAGACATAAAACATGTTAAAGTTATGTTCCTATCTTATTTTTACTGAAAGAAGTCTGAGTATATGAAGGCAAAAAGGTAAGGTCAATTTATGCTTCATAAAGCATCACATCATACTGCAAGAGTTGACATTTGGCTCAGCACATTCTGAGTTTCAGCACTAGATGGAGGTGAATGGTCAGCTTCAAATGCTGCATGATTTTTCACTCGGAAAAGAGGTCCCAGCATTCACTGGGTGAGGCCTGGAACCAATCTGGATATGACGGTACAGAGAAATTTTAATGTCTTAAAATCTATAGGGATCTTAGAAGCTATGTTTATATAATCTGTTCAATTCTGTTTACTTTGTAAAATGAGATAACGATTATGTACCATGTTTCCATGAGTAGACAGTATGGTTCTAAGACAAAAATAAGAAAAAGCATGCATGGAAACTGACTGACTGATAGTGTCTACCATCCTCTCAAGCTGCAGACTTAGTAGTCTGATATACACTGATGATGCTCATATAACTCAGCTCAATTAAGACAGTTTTCTGTAGTAAATTACAGACTTAAGCATCCTGTCTAAAGGGTACCAGGAGCTCTTTCTCTAGGGATAAAGTGGCCGAGGCATGAAGCTGACCACTCACATCTATCTAGTGCTGAGTCAGGAATGGTGGAGTAATACCTCCACTCCCCCATATATTCTTCATGGCATAGTGCTTAATTATTAAAGCACAGGGACAGCCTCACCATTTTACCTTTTACCATCACAAATTTATGCAAGTAATTACAAATAACCCATTAAAAAAGTTGGGGATGCATTTGTTCATATTCTACCACTGAGCTCATATCACTGTGGTTGGAAGAAATTACCAGATGTGAGAATATATGAATAAAAGCAAGTTATAGGTCTCAACATTGAAACATTAAATGTAAATCCATGCTGTAATCTTCCATGATTCAAAACAGAACATTAAACTGTATTTTACCCCAAAATACATACTCATATTTATCAAACTAATTCTGTTAATTTAAATATAAATGCCAATAAAGGATTTTTAGTAAGAACAGTAAATGAGGTAGACAGGGCACACATGGGAGAGGCACATATATATGTTCATGTCAGAAAGTCTGATGTGGCACTACCTAGGTATAGAAGGTTCAACCATAAACTGGATATGAGGATGTGAACTGATCACAGCTTGTAGAATCCTACTGTCTGGTCAGTTACATTCTTGTTATTCATTGTATTGTATTGTATTTATTTGCATGTTCCAACACATCCTTACATGGCCGAAGCCCTTGGATACAGAACCGGTCTCACAACAAGCCTGCTAAGTAGCAGGTAGTCGCTAGATAATATATATATACAACAATATTAACATGATATTAACTTAATACCCTTATATGTACTACAATTACATCACATTTACAATATAATTACATTATAATTTAAATATAAATAAATAACATAAACACTCAATAACAATCCTAGTTAAAATATTCATCCAAAGTATAATAAGATTTACGATGTAAAAAGGCATGTAAAGCCACTCTAAATTGCATATCACAGACGAATTCCTTAATCTTCAATGGAAGATGGTTAAAAAGTTTAATGCCAGAATAATAAGGACCTTTCTGGTAAATTGTTAAATTTGCCTGAGGACAATAGAGATCAAAATTACGCCTCATTTTCAGGCCATGAATTTGCGCTGACTTATATACAAGCCCATATTATTCACAACAAACATCAATAATGAGAAAATATATTGCGACTGCAACTGCAATATTCCCCATTCCCTAAATGCCTCTCTACAAGTCTCTAGGTCTCAACCCACTCATGACTCTAATTATACTCTTTTGAATTCTAAAAATATGCACACTAAGGGGTGAATTACCCCAAAAAATAATTCCATAGCTCAATAGTGAATGAATGAAAATCATGAATGCTATCTTGGGAAATGCATGTTTTACTATTCCAGTTCTGACCTACAAAACACACAGGTGGGTATCACATAGTGTGTTTCATGATTTTTAATGCATTACCACAAGTTTCTGTTTTGATTTCTGTCTTTAACTCCCCAGTGGATCCATTAATGAAATTTTAAAACACATACTGTGGTATTTCTATTGTTGGTATCTACTGACAGTCACGTTCTCAAGGTCCAAATTTTAAAATCAATGTCAGAATTAAATTACATATCAATTATAAATATTACCATCTGAATTAATTTAAATGTTCAATAACTGCTGTCTAAAACATATACATTAAGATCTGTTAAGAATTAAAATATTTTACAAAAATTGGAGAAAAAGGCATAGTAAAGTTATTATAAAAAAACTTTGGATGATAAGTTAGTTATTATTTCCACTTATATGTTTTTACTTTGTGTCATGTCAGCCTCACTTCTGTTCCCTATTATGTATCCAGTGTGTTGTGGTATATTGATGTATATTGTGTATTGGCATACAAATGTGTTTAATATCTCCCTCACTATATTAATGGAATATGTACTAGAGTACTGGCATATTTTTATTACTTCAGCTCTGCACGTTTTTGTACAACTTTCCATTTTTTATGTTTAATTGCTGGATTTGAAGTCCTCATTGTAATGACCACAAAGACAATACTGTTACTGTTTAAGAATAGTGATTCTAGACAAGAGAAAATTATTATTTAGTGGATATGCACCCGGAGAACAGTTTTTATCTGGATCAGTGTACATGACAGCTAGTGCCCTAATATTAGACAAGGCTTCCAAATGATATGGCATAATAATAATAATAATAATAATAATAATAATAATAAGGGCTGGATCAGATGACTGAAAGAAAGTAATGGTCTTTTAAACCACTTTACTGCTAGTTTCTAGTCTCTGACAAAGGATCTAAAATCCATCAGCAAAAATTAGATGTCAGTATTGTTCTCGGGCGCCTTCTTAAGTTTAGAGAATTCTGACAAGCAACGTAGGAAAATTTGCCAATTTGGATCACTTATCCAAATGGCAAAATTGCTTATGCTAGCACAACAGGAAAAATGTGGAAACATATTTGATACAAGAATTAAAGATCCTTTGTCCCAATGACAAGGTACTGCTCTTCCTCCAAATTAAATACAATGAACGTTTCGGTGATTAATAACATCCCAAATAATGAAAACAAAATTTAAAAAATTTATATGGAAACTGCTGTATTATTGGCTACCATACAAGTCATTCATATCAGCTTACAGACCTTTTCTACTCCTCCCCCCCCTGAAATTACCATTTACTAAAAGGTTTTACTGTGGCTGCTGTATATGCAGAAGCCCAATTAAATTGCATTTAGCCTTAAAGGAAATCTCATCATTTCTTAATTCTACATTGTAGCACCTTGTTGCATGTAGTTCATTAGTCTAAATTTAGCCATGGCTTGTACACAACATTCCAGTGAAGCTGTTCATTCACTTGACATGCAGCATATGGCAAGAATGATATTCTGATTAATAAATAATTACAGCAAGTGAACAGCATTACAGTCATCCTGTGTGTAAGTGACAGTTAAGCAGAGCTTACTTGGGACCTCTTTATTTTCTGCAGAATAGAGCCTGCACACAAATGCCAGATAAAGGGTTAAGTAAACCAAACAAGCTACCACACATCCAGCAGGTAGATCATATGCTCAGTTTCCAGTCAGGTTCCTCATACATAAAACAGCTGACCAGCTGTTACAAAATGGAGTCCCTTTGACAAGCTACACAAATTTAGATTTACCTGCATATGACTCTCCTGTAACATAAAATTCACTTTGCTGTAATTCTGGAAATAACTGGAAGAACTGCAAGAGAGCATTATAGAGATCTTCTCCAACAGCAGTTTCATTCCTTGCATACCCATCATCACTCTCAGTAAAACTGTAACCTGGAAGAAGAACAATCAACATTTTGAAGAGTACTATCTTCTGGGATAACACCATGTAATCTGGTACATGTGTACCAACATTTTGAAGAACCATGCTGCCTTTATCTCTGGCTCTGAAGCTTTCTCCACACAAGCAGAAAGTTGCTCTTCTATTACACTACACAGCATCACATTCCATTTGATAATTCTCCTTACAGTCACAGCTGTGAGAACAGGAAAATGCGCATTACCAAGTATTTGATAACAGAGTGGCTCACAAAGACATCTCGACCTAAGAAGAGTGCAGTAAGTGGAAATTTAAAATATGGTATAATTAGGATCTTCAAGATTTATACAGATCACCTAGTACTGTTCAAATAATGAAATCAAAGTAATTATGTAGAGATCTCTTTGAAAGTGGCCACTTAAAAGACTGAGATGGGAAAATGAAGATATAATTAAGATGATTTTAAGAAAAATGTTGGAAGGTGAATTGATCTGGCTCAAGATCATATCCACTGGTGCACTCTGGTATCAGTAATGGTGAGTCTAGGTACCACTACTAGGGTTAGCCACGTTTATAAGGGCATTATAAATCTGATGCAAAACACAGGCCTACATGAAATACCATACAAAAGACAAACTTACATATGCTCCTATTATTTACTCTTCAAAACACTGAAAATCAGTAGACAGACTTTACGGCAGGTCTGACAAATTGCATATACGAAACTGAAACGGTTACTGAAAGTTTAAAAGGCATAGAATGACAAGCATTGATCACATTCCAAAAGAGTTTATTCTATCAGCAACTGGTTGTTATAGGAGCCGGGATGGCATAATCAGTATAGTGACTGGCTAGGGGCTGGATGACCGAGGGGTCAGAGTTTGAAGAATATTCTCTTCTCCATGACATCCAGACCAGCTCTTGGAACCACCCAACCTCCTAGCCAATGGGTACTGGGGATTCTTCCCCCAGAGGTAAAGCGGCCAGGGCGTGAAGCTGACCACTCACTTCCAGCTAGTGCCAAGGCCAAGAAAATGTGGATCTATACATGCAATCACCCATACACCTTCATGGTGTAGTGCTTAATAGTTAAGCACAGGGACAACTCTACCTTTTATTGGTTGTTATAATCTTAACATAATGATAAGTAACAAATCCTCTGCAAATATTGTTAAGTTCAAGAACATGAGAATGACAATGTAAGTCAGTAAAAAGTAAAGTAAAGCTATCCCTGTAAGGGGCCGTGAAGGCCCATAAGATTGTGAGATGTTGAGGGTCCCACATTATCTAGACAATCAGCTCAAAGATGGCGGTAAGGTTGTCACAGCCTTATGCGCTGGCCGCACTTTACTCCCCAGGAAAAATGGCTAATTAATTCCTGGTACTCATTTCTGTTAGAGGCTAAGTCGACCCCAGGGCCAGTGTGGCTGGAAGGATTAGGTCAATTGAAAAAACCCAATGACCTCATTGGGATTTGAACCTGCGACCTTCCAGCTAGTAGCATAGCCCCTCAACCAACTACGCCACCGCTTGCCCCGAGAATGACAATGACAAATCAAAATTATATTCATGATAAAATTCAGAGCACATCAGATTCTAGAAATTCTTATGTTCAGATCAGAATCCTTCACTTTTCTCACTCATATCTAAAAAACTAAAGACAAATGTACATAGATACTGTTGCAGGGATAATGGGGTCTGCTCACATATGTCTTGGCACACATGCTACCTACACATAATGGAACTGTCCAGCTGCTATTAGGCTAGTAGGCATAGTTGGTCCCAAAGTAGAACATAGTGCGCAAGTTGTGAAGGTAGGGCATGGGTCACCTTGAAAAGTCAATAATTGAGAAAACTGGTGACAAGCACTGCACACATTTGAATAGTGCATAGCAAATAAATAGTAACTTGGTCCAAGGTGTCTCAACTGCACCACAGGTTCAAGAATGGTCATGACTCATCCAAAGCTGACTGGCACGGTGAATAGCCTAAAACATTCAGAATGAAGGCAACGTGAGAAAGATGCAGGAGGTTACATCTCTGATAATGAGTCAGTAAAAAAATTGTAAGGAAACTCAGAATTTCAATTAGTAGTTGCCATAAAATCCCAGGATGCTTATGCAGGAACAATGTGACGGCAGCAATAGGATCAGTGATGAGTTCATCACTACAACAGATAACAATCTAGTCTCTGGAAAATCATCACAGCAACAAAATCTGGTGTTTTGTATATGAACCCTAAGATAAATGACAATCCTCCATGTTAAAGATATCATCTTCTCTAAGAGCCACAGAGCTCTGGCAGAAATGTTCAAGAGAAGGTGATGTCTGGAAGTTTTCTCTAAGTGGAAAGGCAATGACAAAAGAACAAGAGAAGGTGCTTACTCATCCACAGAAGTCAATTTACCTCGGTGCATGGCCAGAAGCTGTGTACAGCTACATAACAATACCCTGGTACACCAGTCATTGCTTGTGCAACCAAAAACTTACCAAGTATTATAATGTGGTGTTTCCCAATACTGTACTCTCCAAACCTTGCACCAAGCAAGTTAAATATTTGCTGAGGGGCTGTCATTTCAAAGATGTAAGTTGTACTGTCTGAGGTCATATGTTGATTCTAGTAATGTTTTGGAGTATACAGGCAGTACCAGAGTGTATAGCTAAGTACAGTATTTTGAAGGAAACTGAATGAAAGGGATTCTCAGTGTTGACAAACTAAAGCACAGCAATTAAATCATGGATCATGAATAGGACATGAAGCATAAATAAATGAAGTGAAGAGGTCATACTACATTTTGGTTGGAAACACTAGAGAGAAGGCAGTGTAAAGCGCTTCCTCATGTGTTGAGCACCAGATGATGGTCTCTTTAAGACTGAAACATATAAAGGTTTCTGTGTAACTGAACCAACTGGTCGCACTCAATGGTGCTGCTGGTCACTTAATGTCAAATAGTGTGACAGACCAAAATACCTTCTATTAGAAAAATGACATTGGCACTTTAGCTGTTGACATATTTGAAGAGACACAACAACTTTGTGAAATTTAATCTGTCACAGAATGCCATATATCTGTGCAACGAGTTCATTCCACTTATCCCATTCACTTTCAGAGTTCCCCTTGAACCACCTACCTAATTCTGTGGAGCAGAGCCCTTCAGCTAACCAAGGCGTTCTCTGACTTTCATGTAATCCATACGTTCACAACCATACACAACTTTATTGAACCATCACAACACAACAAACAGAAAAAATCAAGGTCAGCGCTCAGCTATAGTTTTGCTACATGCATCAGCCACTAACGGCCATCTTCAGGCAAACACATATCAACAAACATATACTATTGAACTGCAGTACATTAGATTGGATACAATGTTATTAATCATTTAAAATATTTTGTGTAAAAATACAATAAGCCAGATTATATAAAAAACTAAAAGTTATTGTATAAAACAAGATAAAATTTAATTGATGTTATATAACATCTAAACAGTTGTTGATTTATTACTTTTCATACGTTTCCATGGACAAATTGGAAATTTGATATTTCTTTTATATAAGAATGTATAGGAGGCCCATGATGTTGCAAATTAATTAACTGTATAGTTGGTGCCTCATCTTACGAAGAATTGNAAAAAAAAAAAAAAAAAAAAAAAAAAAAAAAAAAAAGAAAGAAAAAACAAGAGCCTGCCACTGGTTTCCACCCTCAAGCAGAGAAATCAGTACACAATTTCAAACCCTATCAGTTAATATTATTCACATATTTATACTCATGTAACCCCAAGTGGCTTCTTCTTTCCAGGTTCCCCATATAAAACTCTGTATGCGTCATCTCTCCCACACATTCTACCAATCCCTGCCATTTCATACTCCTTGACTTCATCATCCTAATGTTAGGTTAGAATAACAAAACATTTTTCTGATCTGCTTTTTACTTCTTCTCCCTTACATACAAATATTCTCCTCAGCATCCTGTACTCAAACACTGTCAATCTATGATGAGATCTATCTTCCAGGATGTAACATTGTGCAGTCCAGAGAACATCAACCAATATTTCAGAGTAACATACCATTTCCACCTTCAGGGCCAAAGAATAAGTTAAGCAAGAAATAACATCAAGGCAGCAAGGATACATAGTGTCATATCCCAAGAGACAGAACTTATCATACCCATCACTGTGAACCTCAAACCCAATTGTCAATGTACGAGGGTAAGTCAGAAATTATCCGCACTTTCTCCATAACACATCTTTAGGTTTGTCACACTGCCTCCTTGCATTGTTAGAGTTGGTACTACTGTGGTCACGTGATCAAAGTTTTACCTTGATCGCATCATTTTCCTTGACGCTGTGACAGTGTAAACATGGCCGCTCTGCTGGCAGTGTGCACCAATGATTAACAAAGAATAGTGATCCAATTTCTCTGATTGGAAGGTGTGTCAGGGGCTGAAATTCATATGTGGGTTCATTACTATGAGCCAGAATCCAAAAGCCAGAGTATGGCGTGGAAACACCTGGGATCGCAAACGAAGATAAAATTCATGACACAATCTTTCATGGGAAAGGTGATGCTAACCGTTTTTTGGGACTCAAAAAGGCCTACACTGGAAGACTACCTGGAAAAAGGGTGTACGATCAACAGTGCAAGATACAGTGATTTGCTGGCCAACAATCTGAAGCCAGCAATTCACACCAAACGCCGAGGCCTATTGTCAAAGAAAGTGTTGTTGCATGACAATGAACACTCACACAAGGATGGCCAGACCGTTGAAACCATTAACCATTTGTGTTTCGAGGTCCTGGAACACCTTGCCTACAGCCCAGATCTCGCCCTTTCCGACTATCATCACTTTGGACCACTCAAAGATGTTTTACGAGGTTTTTGATTTTCTACAGACAAAGAAGTGGGGGAAGTGGTGCATAAATGGTTGCACGGCCAACCGAAAACCTTCTTCGTGGAGGGAATACGCAAGGTTTTGGACCACTGGACCAAGTGCATCGAAAAGGGAGGAGACTATGTAGAAAAATGAAGTACTTGTTCAACCCCTACTTTTGTATATATGGATTGGAAAAACAAGAGTGCGGATAATTTTTTACTTACCTACGTATGTTCTTCCTTTACTGTATTGTTAAATGCCATAATTTTACTTGTACTTCTATTTCATTTACGGAAAACAGTAACAAAGTGCTCAGTACTCAGCTTACCTGTTCCAACTGGATTGTCAATGTATATGACAGAATGAGTTTTTGTCCAAGAATACTTTCTGAGTTTCAAATAATATTTGCTGTTTACTGAAAATGGCCCATTTTCTGTAAATAGACCAAATAATGATGATGACCCAGGACCTCCTTGCAACCATAGAACTACAGGAGCTGATGGATAATTATTACTCTAAACACAAAACAGACACAATTTATTTCATACTGTTGCAAAAGCAGCACTTTTGCTTTTCATTACTGTTCCTCCTTTGTGTTGACTTTGCGGTGTTTGCATGTTTGCTTTGGGTTTGTTATCTGTTAAGTCAATGATTCAAATGTCACCAGCTACCTGAACTGAGGGTTCTTGTGGCTTTCCTCACTCTTTCCAAATGCCTATACAGTACTTTAAAACAAGTCACAACTGATTCTTCTCAAAACTTTTCCACTTTACAATTCATAATAATCCTATCATTTGTCTCTCACCAGTATAAATCTATGGAACTGACAAAAAGTCATTAAATTAAACAAGAAATGAACATACCTTAAATCTATAATGAGTTCCAATTGAGGAAAAAATGTTTTACTCTACATACCCTGGTGGTCTGAGAAATATATTTTTTTAAGTTCAACCCATTAAATATTTTCATTCTATATAAACTTGTAATTCTGTATTTTAGCATCCTGTTGCAATTGTTTAACTTAACGTCCATGTATTTATCGTCTGTCAATATTGCAACACTTGTTTATTCACTATTTAATCTTAATCTTAATTTAACATTTTATACACTTTGACACAACAGGTTTTGGCCCCAGATGGCAATTTTCAGGTGTCTTGATATGTTACAAATATTTTATTAAATTATATTGAAACTGCTACACTGTGTTAGCCCATGTTAAAATCACACACTGTAGTTCTCTTTTCAAGGTACAACAAGATAAAATCCATTAAAATTTCTATTTCACCTCACAAGGGCTGATGTCCATTGTTCATAAGTGTACACTTGTCCTTGGTGTTTTGTTTCGGCAGCTTGCCCTTCACGCTCATAGCCTACTTTTCAGTTATGTCTGCAATCTGTAATTTATAAGATCCCTAGGTTAATGTTGCTTTCTAATTGTTTGCTATTGTTATTATGTTATGTTTGTGTACTTTGGCTGTTTGGGGCCGAAACATGTTGCGTCAAAGTGCATAAAGTGTTAAACTAACATTAAGCTTAACTAGCAAATAAACAAGTGTTGCAATATGGATGGACAATAAATACATGGAGTTAAGCTATATAAACTTGTTTTATCTGTGACATACTTCACTTTGACAATACTCTTTCTTATTGAACCCAGTATTAAGCAATTTTCTCCATCACACACAGTTCAGATAACACCCAGTCTCTGTGCAACAACTTTCATTCAACTGCTTTTATGGTTAATACAAAGAGGAAATATTTTTGTTCTTTTTTTGGCCCTTAGGTAAAGTGGCAGCCCTTAAGAAACAAATAAAGTACAGTATTGTTCTTTCATTCTTTGAGAGGGCTGCATAAAACCTGATATAATCAGGCTGCTTTCTGTTCCTTTGGCAAATACAGTTTAGTGGAACTGAAAGCAAGAAGAAATTCATTAACAACATGTGCACACGAGAGCATATGTGTGAGATGCACATTTTGATATGTGTTACGAGTTGTTAATGCATGTATGTCCATTACTGGATGAATTGGCAATACAAGTGCAGTTAATGAATTACCGCTGAACATTTTTCCTCCTTCATATGGATGAAGGGGCAGGATGCAACATGCTGTAGCATGTTTCCCAAGGTGCATCATTTCTAGAGAAACACAAATTTATTTGGCCTTTGTCCCATCCTGATCTCATTTACACCATGTTTATAAAATAAAAAGGACACATACAAAAATTCGACATACATATTGCACAGCAACCCACATTAACACTATCCATGAATATATGAAAACATTAACCTCTGTTTTGAATTGGGCATCCAGTGTGATGTTGCTGATCATGAATATGTCAAGTGTAACTTTGGTGTACATGTCTTTATAGCATGGTGCTTAATTAATTATGCACAGGGAGAAGTTCACCTTTAGCTTACACATTATTTACTGAACAAAGAATGTATACTTGATCACTTTAAATTTTGGGGTACTTTACACTGACTGGGTCATTCTACTGAATGTCTTGCTAATTATCTAACAACACTTTCAGTACTGAGACTACACAGAGCCAGCATTCAATTGGTGTTTTAAACAAATGCACATATACATATATACAAGTATGGCAGCTTATCTACATATTCATAACATAATGCATCAATATGCAAAATTAGTATAGAAATAGGAGAAAATATACAAAAATATAAAAAATAATTACATTTACTTTAAGGAACTTTTGAGAGAAACATGAGAATATAAAACAATATAGTTCTGATGTTCTCATAAAACTGGCCTTGCAACAAATCAATGGACCATAGTATTAAGAAAACAATAAAAAAAACTCCGTTGTTTGTCTGAAAGGGAACTATACCAACCAAGTGACGGCCACTTGTCAGCGAAGTCAGTGCCAATTAAGAAACCAAAATAAGATCTTATTTATTCTTGGTTTATTTAACACTTTCAACGACTGAGGTTATACAGTGTCACATGATAGGACAATTGGTGAATAAAGAATTAAAAACAATGTGGAAGGAAGTGGTTGTAACATAANGCTTTCTTCATAGTCACCGCCGTGAAAGCCTCAAAGCCTGAAGATTAAAATATGCAAAACTATAAGCTATGGGTGGACACTTGGGACCCTCACATTAAAGCAAGAATATAGAATGAGGTTGTTTGAAACAGAGTCCTGAGGAGAATATTTGGAAAAACAAGGGAAGAAATGAGAGGAGGTTGGAGAAAACTGTGTAATGAAGAGATTCATAATCCGTACTCTTCTCCAGATATTATTAGGGCAATAAAATCAAGGTTAAGATGGATGGAGCATGTAGAATGCAAGGAGAGATAACAAATGCATACAGTTTCAGTCACAACAGCTGAAGGGAAAATGTCATTTTCATGATCCAGGTGTACGTGGGAAGATAATAATTAAATGGATCTTAGGAGAAATAGGGTTAGAGGGAATGGTCTGGACTCATTTTATCATGAACAGGGACCAGTAGTAGGCTCTTGTGAATGTAACAATGAACATTTACACTCCATGAAAGGCATGGGTCCTGACTAGCTGAGCAACTACTATCTACTTAAGAAGATCTCTGCTTCATGGAATTGTTGGTGTTTGTGTATATAGGGAAAGGACAATTATGACAAACCTCAGCCAGAACAGCTGGTACTTATGCCAAGATTTTGAACTTTAACTCCCCAAATATGAATTGAGTGTTAACCACTCAACCATTACATTCAGTAAGATAAGAAGTGACCAGAAACTTCTCAAATAAGATTTCTGAAATGTGTGTTACAAATTACACAGGGAAACAAAATGATGATGTATATAAATGATTAAAATCAAAAGGCATAACAGAAGTTCAATTATATCAACAGAAATGGCTACAACATCCAGGAGAGAAGACACTCAAACATCTACGAAAGCCAACCTGCTTTTACAATCCAAGAACACTAAACACTGGCCAACAAAGGAAGAGATAAGTACTATCTTTCTTCAGGTGGAGGGCAAAGATGAAGCCAAGAATTATAATGGCATCCCATTCCTACAGAGTCCCATAATCTTATTTAAATTTGGATTATTTAATGACACTATCAGAATTGTGACTACACAGCATCAAATAATGGGATGATTAATGAAGTGGAACAGTTAGTGGAATATGGATTGGCTGAGGAAACTGAAGTACTCAGAGAAAAACCTCCTTCAGTGGCATTTTGTCTGTCACAAATCTCACATGACCTGACCTGGGATCAAACCCTGGCCACTGCAGTGGAAAGCTAGTGACTAACCACCAGAGATATGGAAGAGCCAAACCCCTAGATATTACCAAATTATCAATGATTCATCAGATGCTAACAGCTCTTCATCCTATGCTTCAACCTATGCTGCTTACAGACACAACATATCATACCACACCACGTCAGTTCATACAAAAATCACATAAAATACACCTCCTTTTTGTAATGTCAGGATTATCATTTTTCTTAAATAATGCAAACCTAAGGTAACGTTCTGAGTTGTTCTCAGAAATGAACTTATAACGTTTACAGGGAAGCTAGGAACGCTTTTTGCCTAGTGCCTCCACAAACCATAATTTCATCCCCTAATCATCTTACTTGGCATAACACAAAACTGAACCCTGGAACCAAATTCATCAACCTTTGCCATTTCTAAATGTCTCAGAACATTTCCAACTTTATTTAAGTGTGATGATATCAATGAAACAACTCATTGGTACATTTTCTTTAAATGTATGTTTATGGTTTAAATTATGGCTGAATTCTGTGTTCACTTTTCACACAATAAAATTACAAATGACACACGGTCTGTATGTAGCGCACTGCTTTTCCTAAGCATAAGTATACACAGATTAGGCTCAATCAGAATCCCGTACGAAGCTTTCTACCCTTCTTTCTAAAACAAATTTCCTAACAAGCCATGCAAGATCAGGCCATACAAAACGGCTCACAAGAATTAAACCACGTCCGTTAGATTAGGTTACAAAAAATAATTTCGTACGACACACGTTTCTTACCTCAACTGGGAAGAACCAGAAAAATAAATTAGAGTTGAATTTTTTGTTCACTGTAAGATAGCCTGAAAAGCTAGTAATGTTCTCTGCTCCTTTCAGCGGGCCAACGTTTGCCGCACTTTGTGCTTCCTTTATCTTACCGGCTTCTATCAGCGGAGTAAGATATAGGGGTTCTCCGGGATCCCCTTTAAAGGAAATCTGTTTTATTTTGGGGTAAACATTGAAAAAACATGATGAGGGATTCACAAACGACCAGACTAAAAATACCAGAAGAAGCATTTCAAAGCTCCCTGCAAATATTCGTTCCTGTCTAATAATCTTAAATCATCCGCGGTGCCTCCTCCGGTTTTGGCCTTGACCGTCGCTCCTGGTCAACTCTACTGGGCAGAAACTACCAGAATACCGGAAGCTCCTACTCACAGACCGGTCACAGACGGCAATCGCTCGCAATCCTCACAGTCAGAGAAGAGAAGGGGAACTCAATTGAACTCAATGCTATTGGTGAGCAACATAGCCGCCGTGACGTCATCAAAGCATCATTGCAGCCGCAGTGTCCGGAGCGTCCGGAGGATACTCTATTGATACATAATGGTTGCCGCCAGTGCCGAGAGCTAGGTCGGTAAGAGGGTATGCTATCATACCACCAGTCTTTGTGTATTGCTCCCTCCCATTCATTCATTCATTTATTGTATATTCCATAANCCATTGAATTTCAGTAAGGGAGTGTTGTATTGATGTAAATGAAATGTTCTTATTTTACAGGCACTGGTGAGAAACTTTCTCCCGATAAATAATGTTGCAACCTGATCTCTTGTACTGCAGAGGTTCTTACTCCGTTGTGTGTTTTCTGTTTTTGAACTGAGTTTTATATCACTTAGCTCATGCCCCTCCAGAAGGTTTTGAGTGAAGTTATGTGAAACTCAAATAAGATCTAGAAATTTGTAATGATGGTATATTGCTACAAGTATTATGTTTTTGGACATTATCCATTGTCTTGTCTATTTTTTAAAAAATAGCCCTGTTTCTTTTTCAAAACAACATTTTGGAGACTGGATTCTGAAAAAGAAACGGGACGGTTTTTTAAAAAATTGACAAGACAATGGATAATGTCCAAAAACATAATACTTGTAGCAATATACCATCATTACAAATTTCTAGATCTTATTTGAGTTTCACATAACTTCACTCAAAACCTTCTGGAGGGGCATGAGCTAAGTGATATAAAACTCAGTTCAAAAACAGAAAACACACAACGGAGTAAGAACCTCTGCAGTACAAGAGATCAGGTTGCAACATTATTTATCGGGAGAAAGTTTCTCACTGGTGCCTGTAAAGTATGAACATTTCATTTACATCAATTTAACATCCACTTACTGAAAGGCAATGGACATTTGATCTATCACATACATAGAATACTTGAGTTTAGGAAAGCTGATGGTGAGTAAACGTGAAAGAAAATTCTGTTTCCATCAGAGATACTTGTATTCAACTTCATAACTTTACTTACAACTTACACTTGAAAGCTACACAGAACATAGCTTTTCAGTTACATTAATGTGTTATAAAATATATATAGGGAGCAATATTACTGAGGTTTCCGTTTGTTATTAATTTCAGTAGTATCATGAAACTTGAGAATCTGATACACACTCTTGTTAACAAGATTACGATTGCATTTAATAATAAATGGAAAGCAATAATATAATAGCAGAACTCTGCAAAACTGCATCATCTGAAACATGCTCTTGTTTCAAAATTTTGTACTAAACATAATAATGTGGCAAAAATAATAAAATAACTGAACGAATATAATGAATCTTGGAAAGTATGATATATATGTTCATAAGTTAAATGCAGAACACAATAATATGGCCAACATTATGAAATTACTGAAGGAATATAATGAACCTTAAAAATCTTAAATATATACATGTTCCACAAGTTCAATGCTGAACACAATAATATGGCCAAACTAATGCAATGGCTGAAGGAATATACCCATAATAAAAAATTTGATGAATAAAATATGTAAACACTCACAACACTATTAACTAAAACTTCCTACCTAGGAAGTAGATAATAAACTTAATTACAAAATACATAGTGAATCCTGACATTGATTCTGCTCTTCAGTGTTTCACGCTGAATCAGGTAACCTGAAGATTGCAAGTCAATTATAAAGTAATGCCACATCATTCTTACCCACACATAAACAAGAGCCATATGTGTTGAAAAAGAATTTCCCACACAATTCTTGATTGAAATATAATTACTTAAAGACACAGGGCAGAATGAACTCTGACTATCTTCTGACAGCGATGTTCTAATATACTGAGAAGAAGGAAACAGGTCTGCAAAGCAAGGAAGAGATGGAGCTGAAGATCAGAATAGGTTTCTTGTACGTAATCTGACTGTAGGTGACGATGTTATCAACAAATTACTCACTACCAGAGGTTTGAGACAAGAGCATGTTAAGGCATGGTAGTTGCAGTTGCTTGTCACCAGGGTTACTTTCTCCAACTTACGAAACATCTATTGATGCTCATGTGAGCAGTTGGCATATATTATTCCCAGTGCTTGAGGTGGAATGAAAATAGAACCGGGATGGTTTTCCTAAAAAAAGGTATTGTACATTGCATTTACTGCCAAACAAATGACAGGATGTTTTTAAGCCATTTAGAAAAGAACCGGGATGCCATCCCGCCACATCCCGCCCCACCTCAAGCCCTGATTATTCCAGTAATTCAATAACTGCTCTCTGCCAATTTCCGGGGCTAGTATATGCAGGATATTACAAGGCAAAGATGAAGAAGCATTACTTTCCTAATGACTTACTGATGTGTCAGTATCTTCAGCTTCCTCTCTGTGGCCCTCTGTGTGGCTGCTTCGGTCATCAACCTGTTTGTTCACTTACATCACCAACGAATGTAAATTCTTGTAAGACATCTCACAATACCATCTAGTGTTCATGGGTAGTGAAGTGAACAACCAGTACACCTAATCCACTCCAAGTCAGTGGTGCTCCTAATGGCAGCTGTGATATGCTGCAACACGAATTGAAGTGCCTGTCATTATAGATTCCATTAGAGTTACAGTGTACCAACAGTCTCCACACCAGCATCTCAGAAGGACATGTGAGAGACCGTTCTGTATCACTGTACTCCTTGAAATATATGAAGACATTGGCTAGTAGCAGCACTACAGATGTCAGGCATGTCTTACATGCATCACAGCTGACACCACAAAGCAGCTGTCTAGCAATGGAAGCAATGACATAGGCCACTGAGAACAGTTCCATATCACCAGCATGTACTGCAACAACCATGTCCTTCTGTACTTATTGAGTAAAGTGGAGACTCAGGAACATCATCAGGGGTTTCCTTGCCACGACTTGTGGACAGATTTGGTGAAGAAGCATCAGGTGCCCTGAACAATGACTGTAGGTTACCCAGAACAGTAGCACCATCATACTCACAAATAGTTCCACACAGACCTCTGATAGCAAGTGCATTGATGATGTTAGTCTTCAGAGTATCTAAAAACTGTCCCACAGTTGGATTATTGTTCAAACCAAACTATCATCAAATAGCTCCAAATGTGTTCACAAGGTGATCATCAAACAGCTGTTGCCAGGTATTCACCACAGCACCCTTCGGAAAGAACATTAGAAAGGAAATCAGTGGGCTGCCTTACATGATGGACTACCATACTTCTTCATATTTGAAAATAACATACTTTACTTTAAAGGGACTGCCTTTATAAAGATTTCTTATATTTGATTAAATTATTCCTCATAGCAAAGTCTCTATCACCTTATTCTCTTATAAATCATATTACTGATAGTGTGTTCTGCTTTTCAAACATTTTTAAATACCCTAAATACAGTTGGCATATTCTATATAACTTTACATAACTATTAGGTTTATTTTGGACTCTATCAATAGTCTAGTATACATAAGATAAAAACCCCAACGTTTCAGAGACTGCATTTGTCTCCTTCCTCAGGTGGATAGGGAACGATAAACCTACTCAATTGGGTCCGTTAATAAGAGCTAGTCTCAATCACTGGACAGACAGACCCTGTTTAGTAGAGAACAGCCTATAAACACTTGACAACAGGTTCCATCATTGAGAGATAAGAATAAAAGCACAATAAAAGACAAGCTAAATCTTTTGTGCCAAGCATGCACATGTCAAAAATGTGATAAAACAGTGGTATGGATTAAGTTCCAGGAATTAAGTTAAAAGCGAGGGTAAAAAATATAGAGGATGTATAGCTAATTATGCAGATAAAGAAGCATGCCACCAGGCGACTTCTCAAAATAAGACTAAACTCGAGAGCAAAACTAGCAAATGTAGCGGAAGACACTGATTTTCATAAAAACTTTCATTTTGACTTGTTAACCTTTTCATTGATGAGGGGGATCCATAGGGGAGCAATATCCAAACTGGTCTGGCTGATCGGATTAGGTGAACATGCCATGTAAGCGATTCCTTATACTTTCTGTACCTGCTGTTACTTTCAATCTCCAAGACCCTAGCTTCGTCCCAGCCCACCTTATGGCCCTCTTCATATGCATGCTGAGCCAACTTGGAACTCTAGAAGACCCTGCTTGAGATTGTGCCTGTATTCGCGGATTCGCACGGCCAGCGGTCTGCCTGTTTCACCAATGTAGCTTCTGCCACATTCACAGGGAATGCTATAAACGCAATGTGCCGTCTGTTGAGGGTCCCTTTTTGGTCTCGTTCTCACGAGCGAAGTTCGTAAAGTGTGTTTATGTGGTCCTAATGTTATACTGGTTTCCTATGCGTTTAAACTTCTCAGAGATCCCCTTGACATACGGGATATAAACCGTGCCAAGAGGCTTTTCCTCTTTTCTCTGATGGCTACTGCCCTTGGACCTGATAATCGAGTCAATAAAGCCTTGAGAATAACCACTGAGTTGCAGGTCACGTTTCAGGTTGTTAACCATCATTAACCGGTCTTGCCGGTCCTGGCATATAGTGGTAGCTCTATCATGAAGACTATGAACAATTCCTCTTTTGACATGAGGGGATGGTTGGAATTGAAATTAAGATATCGGCCAGTGTGGATAGGTTTCCTGTAAACTTTCGTGGTCACAGCCGTCCCTTTCTTTATGACCAGAACGTCCAGGAAGGGGACCCCACAACACAAAATGCAAAGAATGGGTCTGGCATTACGGCATCTTAATCGCTACCACGATGAAGGACACGATATGCTAGCCCGAATTGTCACAGGTGATGAGTCTTGCTCCAAGCGACTCCCATTTGTTCGGCCCTCTTAAACATCATTTTTCAGCTGAACATTTTCCCGACGATGAAGCTGTATAAAGGGAAGTCACCGCCAAGTTCCGACAGCAGCCCAAAGAATTTTATGCTGCTGGTTTTCAGAGACTTGTGAAAAGATGGGACAAGTGCCTCTACTTGGTCT